AAATGTCTTTGAAGGAGACAGAGATAATGGAAAGGATCCAGAAGAAGCTTGAAGAAGCTTGTGGTCTTCATTATATCTCTATGGTTTTTATAGTCATTTTAATAAGGATGAATTGGAGGATGGTGGATGCATTTATTATCCATATTCAAGATACAAAAAATACTACCATTACTATGCAGTGGCATGTTATTTCCCATTAGATTAAATTATTTACTGTGTGGTTGAGTAAAAGATTACTAGGATGATATTGATTTAGCCAATTTTTATTGGGCAAATGCTATGGAAGAAACACTAGCAATACAAATAAATCCTGTCCTTTATTAATATTTTTTTATATTTATTGATCTACAGTTTAATATAATAAAAACTCATTAAGTGCAAGTATAAAATTAAATCATGGAAAAAAAGCAGTTGCTAGGTAACAAATGTTTATCAAGAATATTTTATCTTTGTACATCCTTTTAAGTGATAGTGGTGAAACTGCATGTATAGTTTTATTACAGCAATACCATAACAAAGTTCAATGCTGAGCATTTCCTGCTTTGTCAAAGTAGAGACTTCAATCTGGTCAAGACTTTGGAACACAATAACTCTCCTTCTAATTGAGGTAGAATGTTCAAAATTGGTGTAGGTGTCTATTAGGTGAATGCCTTGAGAATTCGATCATGAGCATTTTCCACTAAGGCTAAGCAGAGATAAGCAATTTGATTGGTTGAGACTTTGGAACATGATAACTTTGGTTGTAATTGGGTGAGAGCGATTCATTATATCAATACATTGACTATGTTCGATGATGATAATTTTCTGCTTAGGCTAATTGATCGATGCTTTGCCACAAGATAACTTTGATTCTAAGTGATGGAGAGTGATGAAACTTAGTTCGATAGTGAACATTTTATGCTCAGTTTGATTATTGTTATTAGAGGTTTTTTTTATGATCCTGATTTATAGTGGTTGTCTTATGTTTCCTATAGAAAGGCAGAACCTTATTGATTTTCAAAATTTTTCGGTAATAGCTTCTATGGTTATGTCCCAATGTTATGATGTCTGCAAATGTCAGTACACTTAGAGGCCACAATAATCTGTCTATAGGAATTCGAAACAAGAGTAGGCTGAAGCTGTCATGGCAAAATTTCTCTTTTAAGTAGTCATAGCACACTGTATGGAATATGTCCGTCTTTCTTATCCTGGTTTATGCAGAACAGTAGGACTTTAAAATGGCATTTCATTTCATTTTTATCCTTGTTAGTTTATATTCTTTCAATAAGTCACATCTATATTATCTATCTTCTTTAAGCAGCATTTAGCAATTGATATATGTAATAAACTCAATAACATATTTAACAAAATCAATAGTTTAATTTCAAGTGAGGTTTCAGCTGGATCCTTTCAACGTTATCAAGCAAGTGATTTATTATACTTGAATAATGTTTAGACAATACATGTTTATTCTATTGATATGCATGTGTAAGGTCTTGAATATAGAAATATAGTTACTAAAATATACACAGATTTGTGAACCAAGGATGGTGAAGCACATTAAATTGTTTGATGACGTTGAGAAAAAAATTACATTTACCAGTGAACATAATTGGTATATAGACCATAGAAAATAAATAGGGTTGCACACTTTATCCTTAAAATATTTAAATAGAGGTACAAATACAACCTCTTCTAATGTCCATTACATGGAACAAACCTTATCAGGGATGTAGCCAGGATTTGCTGAGTGGTGGAAAAAAAAGCTTCTGAATGGAGCGAGTAAAAAAAATTTTTTGGAGCGGGGCGTGATCTTTTATGAAAATTCAACCCTTCTTGGTGTATTTTCAGAGTATCTGCTGCCTTTTGTAGCTGTCTTAAAGGATTTAGTTTAGATTCAGTAGAATTAACGGTAGAATGAGTACATTAAAAATTGATAGTAAAACTGAAAGTACAACACCATTACGACATCCAAACCTTTAACATTGGTCTGGGTGACCTATTTACGGCAAATATACAAATTAAAAGACAGTAGAATTGTAAAATGAATAGACCTACACAACATCTAAATATAAATAAACAAAATACCAATATTTCTTTCTTTAATACTAATTTGGGATGATAGGGTCTACTATGGCACACAAATATAAATTATGCCGTGGCAGACATGGTTTGCGTGGGCTTTTACCATGGGTTTGCCGTGTTAAATTTCGAGCGCTGAGTTTGTGTACAGAGAAGGACGAAGGGGTTTAAATTAAGGTGCAAAAATCTTAATAGGTGACACACAAATATGACTATTGCTCTGCAATGGAATAAATTTTGACATCTAGATGATCTTATGGCAATTGACACATTCTATTTTTTGAGAAAAGATTTAAATTTTAAACAAATAAAGAGAGAGAGAGAGAGAGAGAGTGAGTGAGGTTAACATCCACTCCACACAACTAGGTCATTTCAGGACTAACATATGGTTTTAATTTTATTTCAATAATTCGCTTGCGCATAGGGGTCTTTAGCAGTGGGAGGAAACCCGAGGACCCGGAGAAAACCGGGGATTCGAAACCACACCAGTCGACTCAATGACAGACATTATGATACAGTGCGCCCACGCTAACCATTCAGCCGTCCAACCCCCCAACAAATAACAAACAAGGCTCATTGAATAATAGATTTGTTCAGAAGGCTAAAAATACAGTGTTTGAGTAAAAAGACCAGACAGAAATAAACCATCCTGGATGGATAATTCATTATTAAAATTATTTAGATGCTTCTGGATATTAGGGACTTTCTCTACTACAGAACTGTTTGAAAAGGTTGAAATTAGATGGTTTGATATAAAAAAAAAAATATCTTTTTTAATTCAAGGGGATTGGGTGAATGGATGGTTTAACATGTGTTCTTTAGATCATAAAGTCTATCAAGTGGCATGGTTTCAATTCCTTGCTTGTACGTGATAAGGAGTAGTCGCCTGTCCAACATTGTGGGTTTTCTCTGGGTCCACCAGTTATCTGCCACTGCTTAAGGCCCCTATGTGTTAGTCCCAAAAGTACCTAGTTTGTGTCGAGTGGACGTTTAACCCTGTTTCTCTTTCTATCTTTAATTCACAAATGAATTAACGTACGACTTCATGTTTGATTATAACTTTATTTATGGTTAGCTTCCCCAGTCCAGACTTCATCTCCTGATCAGTTTTAAGTACACCAGAAGTCAAACATCAATAAATTTGCTGAATACATGTACACCTGTGGCAATCTGGTTATCTTGTGTGGATTTTATTCATGGGTGAGTCTGACTGCAAGGTGTCAATCAAAATTCCGTTACGTAAATTTACACATGCCATGACTAAAAGTTGGGTCACTTTAACAACGAAGTGTTACCTTGTAGACACTAGAACTTTATTGTAAATGTAAATGTTTAATCTAGTATTCATCTTTTATTTATCAATTCAAATCATATTTATTTACCGAATTATATTCATGTTGATGCATTGTGAGACTTCTCAAAAATCGTTGATATCAGAATCAATGAACAATGACCATTAGTGCGCTCTCAAGCTGCCAATCAGTATTAGTGACTCGTTATGGCAAAATGAGTCGTAATGTGCAAATACTAATTTTGAGCTACAAACAAAATAAGTGAAAATATTGATTTTAATCGAAATTGAGATTTTCACAAAAATGGGTCTGTAAATATACTATCTATCGACACAAAAGATCAAAATAACAATAAAAGATTTTAAAACACCTTTATTTGAACGTTTTGTAAGAGTACCCTATTCTTAAATCTGTCCTTTTTCTTAAAATTCTCATTGAAATTAGTTATTTTTCTTCGCTTGCATCGGGACGATTGGCAGTTTACAAATATGACCAAGGTATTGGGGATGAATTTATTTTGAATTAATACAATCGAGTTTTAAAACCCTAAAAAATGTAAACAAACTCTGCTTGTTGCTATGCTGTCTACAAAACTTGTTTGCTGATTGGCCCAGACACCGCGTGCAAAACATTGTGATTACGTGGCTGCCTCGAGGCTCAAGTGGACAATAGAAATTTGATTTTGGCAATTATGTTTTTGGGTACCTACATGCGATGCAATAAGTGGTAGAAAAATACTTAATTCTAATCGTATATAGGCTAGATTGCCGTTGATTGTTAATAAAAACCATGTCACAGAATACTGTAATTTAATCAGCAAGCTGATCGTGTCATTGAGTAATTCTAATCTGTAATCAACTGTCATGGATCGATGACTTGGTCATTGACAACTCATTAAACGACAAAATAGCAAAAAATTCATGGAAATTGTCGGATCAAATTTTTATTACAATTTTCGTCTTCACCATCCCTGAAAACCCCTGGAAAGAAATATTCAATGACAAAACAGCAAATAAATGGCCTGGGGCCTGATTCACCAAATTTTAACTAAGATAAAATTCAAATTTTAGTAATTTGATTGAATAACGTTAGATTGATTTTAGTGCTTAGCCAATCAAATTTGAAGTATCTACTAAAGTTTTGTTTTTATCTTTAGTTAAAATTTCGTGAAACAGGTTCCTGGTTGCTATTTGATTTTGTTTTGGAACGTACCAAATCTTTGATTTGCTTTTTCTCAAAACTTAATTTTGTGAGTTGGGTAGCTTCAAATGGACACAGCTCAGTCAATGTTTGCCCGATTCAAACAAACTATACATCAAATTGAAGGTATTGAGTTGGAAAATAACAATAACTCAAATTTGAAAATTTCCTCATTGCGACTCATTATGCCACACAGGTCACATTAATTAATATGTGAAATGCAAATACGGTAGCTGACCTTCATAGAATGTCACAAATCAATCTGTGATGGCCCTGTTGAACAAAAATGTGGTAATAAATTTAACTTAACCCTACTATGGAAACACTATACAACAGGAATTTAAGGACTGAATGATGTTCAGAGTAGATAAATAAAATGTAACCATAAATTCATAAATGTTTTTGCTATTAAGTTTAAAGTACATAATTTGTTTTTTTCTTTTTCAGTGAAGAGAAGAAATTATGTAAGAAATTAAAAGTATCTCCTTCAACATTTGATATAAAACATTTTAAGTGAGTATTGATTGGTTCTTTATGTCTGTGTCTAAGTTTGGAATTTATAGTATAACATTAAGTCAGGTAATGTTTAATAAATGAATCTTCTATTTATACATGTAGTTCACATCTCTACTGTCAGACCTTTTTATTATTCAGTATTATTTTCTTAAATACCGGTATACACGTACAACTGTAATTAAATAGTCTGAATAATCGACACAGTTGTTCATAGAAAATATTTGGACAAATTTTAGCGGACACCCTCTCATATTATTTTCCCCCGGCTTTCGAAGAAAGCAGGGGACTATTAAAATGGGTCTGTCTGTCCGTCCATCCGCCTGTCTGACCGTCACACTTTTTGGGACACAATAACACTCCCTCTAATTGAGCTAGAATGTTCAAACTTGGTGTAGGGGTTTATTAGGTCAATGTCTGGATGGAGTTCGAAGATGAGCACTTTTTGTTTAGGGTAAGCAGAGATAAGCAATTTGATTGGTTGATGCTTTAGGACACAATAACTTTAGTTCTAATTAAGTGAGAGTGTTGAAACTTGGTGTATAGCTTCATTACATCAATACATTGACTAAGTTCGATAATGAGCATTTTCTGCTAAGGGTAAGCAGAGCGATAGGCAATTTGATTGGCTGAGACTTTGGAACACAATAACTCTCCTTCGAATTGAGGTAGAATGTTCAAATTTGGTGTAGGCATTCATTAGGTGAATGCATTGATCTACATGTAGTTTGATGATGAACATTGTCTGCTTAGGTAAGCAGAGATAAACAATTTGATTGGTTGATGCTTTGAGACACGATAACCTTAATACTAATTAAGTGAGAATGAGGACACTTGGTGTATAGTTTTATCACATCAATTCCTTGACTAAGTTCTATAATGAGCACTTTCTGCTCAGGGTATGCCAAGCCATATGCAATTTGATTGGTTGAGACTTTGGAACACAATAACTCTTCTAATTGAGGTAGAATGTTCAAACTTGGTGTAGGTGTTCATTAGGTGAATGCCTTGATCTAATTTGATGATAAACATTGTCTGCTTACGTTGAGCAGAGATGAGCAATCTGATTGGTTGATGCTTTGGGACACAATAACTTTGGTTATAATTAAGTGAGAGTGATGAAACTCTGAGTATAGATTCATTACATCATTACCTTGACTAAGTTCGATGATGAGAGTTTTCTGCTAAGATTTTGGAACATAACAACTCTGCTTTTAATTGAGGTAGAATGTTTAAACTTGATTTAGATGTTCATTAGGTGAATGTCTTGACTGAGTTCAATGATTAACATTTTGAGCTAAAGCTAACCAGAGCTAAGCAATTTTATTGGCCGATGCTTTAGGACAAGATAACTTTGATTCTATCTGATAGAGAGTGATGAAACTTAGTGTATAATTAATAATCTGTTTGATTGCTTGATACTTTTGAAAAAAATAAATTTGTGATAAATTAATATGTGTCATCTATTTATTTTGGCATTTTGGCAGGGGACATCAGCCTCACTGTTGGCTTGTTTAAATTTATAAGACCTAACAAAATTTAAAATTATCGAAGTATTATTTTCCTTTTTTCCCCAGAGATGGTGATTTTAATAAAGATTATGACAGAAAAATAGCTACAAAGGTAATATTTCTAGTTGATATGTATATAGGAAATCAAAGAATTTTGTTTTAAGTCAGTGTTACAATTGTGTGAAGTTATTGGAATTTTTTATTCTGATGGTCACCACAATCTACATGTCACATCCTGGACCCTTGAGAGCTGATCAAATGCTTTATACACCATTTCTTTTTCACCATTCAAAGGGAAAAACATTTTGAGAAATGTAAATTTAACCAACACACAATAAAATGGAACAAATTGTGATTAGGCTGGTCAATGTGATCAGTAACAACATTTTGTATACATGTACATGGTATGGTAGATTGAAACATACTTTTATTGATCCTGACATTAATTAATAATTGGCTGGAGACAGCTCTAATAATCTCATTTTATAGTTACCACTAATAGCTTTTAGATTTGATATAAAATGACAATTAATGACAATGCAACAAATTTAAATAATAATTTTAGTATTTACATGTAGATACGGTCATATGGATTTTAGGATACTAATGGTTATGAGATACATGTAATAAGTGATGAGCGAAGAGAAAAATAAATTCCATAAGATTAAATTGTAATTTAATATTGGTGTTTGATAAAATAACATTCATGTATATAATGGTTATTTCTATTTTTTTGTTCAGGTGTTGCAAACTAAAAATCATTTCACCACCATAAATCTCTTTTAATTATTTAAGTAATTTGTTGATTAAGCCTACTTCTATCACAAAACTATAAATATATATACCACTGATAAAATCTGAATCACTGTCATTCAATAAGAATGATAATCTGTCGTTAGGAGAACGTTGTCATATAGGCCTAGACATAACACTGTTTTATTATAATTTTTCAAAAAGAAACAGTATGATTTTTAACTGTCAAAATGTCAAACAGGAAGTACATGTAAAGTACATGAAAAAGTCGTCTGTTTATAAGGGAGGTAACTCATTACACTAGGATCGTTGCATTCGGCTAATCGGTTTTGTCGACAAAAGTCGTTGTGGGTACTCAACGGCAACATTATAGGTGTCAACAAAAGTGACATTGGTCAGTTAAGAGTTATTTCACACCAACTACTTGACATACAAACCTGTTATAAATTTCTTCAAATGTGAAAAAGACCCAAGTGATCTCGCTAGTCTTGAGAACTCTAGTGATAAAAGTGTCTTCCATCAGTTTCATATGCTAAACTTTTTATTTCATTAATATTTTCAGTCTATGGTGAACTTTTTGTTAGATCCAACTGGTGATTTACCCTGGGATGAAGATCCTACTGCACAAGATGTAGTTCATATAGACACAGAGGGAGTGAGTTTATTTACTTTATTATTAGCAAGCATCTGGAATTTCTGTTGTTGGATTTCATGGGTAATAATGTTCAATGAAACGAATTAAATTTTAATATTTAATAAAGAGATATTGTGTAACAATTATATTCCATAGAAATGTTTCCTGTTGAATTATTTCTAAATGTCATTGAAAGAGCTTAGGGATGCACTACCATGTAGGTTAATAAATTGTCATACAGATACTTGGCAGAGAATATGAATATTTTTATACAATTTATTTCTTGGCCAACACATTGCAGTTTAGGCAAGTAGAATTTGCTTTGCATTGGCTCCCCCAGAAATGTTACGTATTAGGCCCAATAAAAAAAATATTTTGGTTCTCAGATACTCCTGCATGACCTGTTTTTATTTCAAAGATAAAAACATAAACAATCTCATTATTTACCGCACGTAAATGTTTTCCCTGTGTTACAGGAAGTAACTAGTATATGTACTGTAGGCTAAATTATCAAATATGCAACTCTGATAAATGTTATTGACAATCATAAATGATACTGGATTAAGGTTGCCGCGATACCCTGGGGATGGCGATATATATCGCGATAATTAGGTCAGGCGATAAAATTATCGTCTGAAATCTCAAATATTGCTTTATCACGATATATCATGATAATTCTAAAAAATATCTCAATATTTTCATTTTTGATCACAATTCACGTTAAAATGAAGAAGAAACCAAATTGTAACAAGTGCCGATACTAGATCTATTCCATTTTCCAAATTCCACAATAGACTTTGAGACAGCTGTTTTTAATACCCCTACTCGGAATGATACAGTTAAACTGCACGTGACAATTATACGTCGCCATAGTAACGAACAGGTGGTTTATCATTGATTACCCAGTCCGTTGAAAATTAAATTGATATTTTACATTGAAAAATCGTCTGGATAATATTTCTTTTATTCTTTGAATAAAATGGCTTCCAATCTTAAATTTGTCAATGTGCGTCAATCAGAATATCTCTGATGACAGTTCGGCAGACTGCGAAAACACACTGCTGCTGACACGAAAAAAAGCATTTCTTCTGTCACCCATATGGGGATATTTTATTTTATGTTAGAATAATCTTACCCCAGCATATATACATACGTTTCACTTCATCAGTGCATCTCACATACATTGCTAAATACCAAATGGATGCACTAGATACATTAATCCATTTATACACTTCAAGTTATATCAATAGATTCAACAATAGCCCAGTAGTGATCATTTGACAAAATAAAACATAAAAATAAAAACTTCGCTCACTCATTCGATTTTTAGGAAGGATTGTCTGAGAACCAGAATATATTTTTTGTATGGCCTTAGTTATTGACAAAACTGAAACATCATATCTTATAGTAGATGGATCCTTCTCATTAGCTCCTCTTCATTAACGGGGCTGGTGCAGAAAAGTAGGACATTCAATCCCATTTCATTCATTCCTTCTCGTTGGCTTTTTAGGTTTGTATGTTATTGGAAGTCAAACATTATTCTGAGATCAGTTGGTATTTAAAAGTTACCAATCCCAGAAACTAATGTTGAAATGTTGGAAATAACTATATATTCTTTGTCTAATTTTTAGGGGCTAGCTAAACAACTGAAGAAAAATAAAAGTCCACATCTAGTAATGTTTTATGCTCCTTGTAAGTCTTTATATATCTAACCAAATCACTTTAGTCTGTAACTTTTATTTTGCTTGCTCATAAGAAAATTCATACTTTTAGTTAAAAATAATGTCCACATATTTATATGTCCACATTATGAATATTGCTGTCGCCCCTGTATGTGTGTAGGTCTGTGTGTTGCCTACAGCCGTCAATTTCTTAACTAATCGTCTTGAAACTTTACATACTTATTCCTTACACCCTAAGGATGATCCATTTGTTTTTTGTGCATGCCCAAACCCTAGGAGCAGAGCCATATCCATTTTTAAATTTGTTTGTTTTCTGCAGGTTGCATTTCTTAACGGATCCACTTAACTTTTCATATTTGTTCCTTTTACCCTAAGGATCATCACTATTGATTTTGGTCCATACTTATGCCCTATAGATGACATCTTTTATTTTCAGTTCATGCCTGACCTCCTGGGACAGAGCCACGCCCAGTTTTTGTTTGTGTCTGTTTTACCTACAGGCCGCAATTCTTAACAGATCCTTTTGATTCTTTGCATACATATATCTTATTCCTTATACCCTAAGGATGATCCATATTGTTTTTGGTGAATGCCCGATCCCCTGGAGCAGAGCCACACCTATTTTTTACTTTATGTGTCCGTGTGTTGCCTACAGGCCACAATTCTTAATGCATTGTCTTGGAACTTGGCATATGTATTGCTTATAGACTAAGGATGGCAACTATTGATTTTGGTGCATGTTCTGCCCCCCAGGGGCACAGCCACGGCCGATGTTTGTGTTTATCATATACAGACAGCAACTCTGATTGGAATTCTGAATGGATCATCTTGGAATTTGGCATATTTATTGCTTATACCATAAGGATAGCAAAAATTTATTTTGTTGCATGTCCTGATCCCCAGGGGTGGTACTACACCCACTTTTTTGTTAGTTTTTATCGGTAAATACTCTACAGGTTGCAATAATTAACAGATTTGTTCAAATTCAGCTTATCAGTCTTTTCAATAACAGGGTGGTACCTATTTATATTGTTCCATATCTAACCCCCAGGGGCAGAGCCATGCCCAATTTTTGTGTTTATGCTGAATGGATCATCTTGGAACTTGACATATTTATTCCTTATACCTAAAGACAGCTACTATTTATTTTAGTGCATGCCCCGACCGCCTGGGACAGTGTCACACCAATGTTTTTGTTAATAATTTGTCTGTAAAGTTTGGCAAAACAAACCCAACACCTAGCCTTTGCCTCTTGTCATATCAATCAAAGCAGGAATGTGGACGTATATTGCAGCAGTGGCGATGCAATTGTAACCATAAGGGAATGTATCTTTGAGGAAAATATTATCAACTTTTATAAGGATAGAATGAATTGTTTGCTTTGTGAACTTCAGAAATAAGTAAATGGGAAGTGGTGTCAAATGTTTTAGAAATACATTTTCTTTATGTAGGGTGTGGTTATTGTAAAAGATTAAAGCCCGACTTTTCTGCAGCTGCAACAGAGATGAAGGGAAAAGCTGTAAGTTATTAGAGAAATTATGTTTGCTGATTATTATTACATGTAGAGTAGACTTTTATTATATGTAGATGTGATTAATTGATAGTTTATAGTTATATACTTTGTTACCATCTCTGACGTGTTTATCGCCACCCTTGTCCATCGGTTTACAAATCCTTGTGGAAATTCATACCGGTAGTCTTGTGTTAAAATTGGTTGTATACATATTATTTATATTAGTAAGATGAATAATCCTGTGATGAGCTCCAGGGGCTAAATGTATTATGGTGCTAATTTTTTAAAATTTTGTGCATGATTGAGAGGCCAGTGCCCTCAACTGATTGATTTGAAAGGTGAGGTGGTAGAATGATGTTAACATGCACTTTAGATATTACGGTCTGACATTATGTCAAGTGGCATAATAAACTATGTTTAAGGGAATGATTTTTTTTTCTGCATAGACCTAATAGGTGAGGTTTTATATAGTGTTTATTATGTCGTATATTATAGGTTTTAGTAGGCATAGATGTAGATAAACCACAACAAATGGCTCTTAGACAACAATATAATATTACAGGCTTTCCTACTATATATTACTTTGAGTAAGTAACTTTTTTTGCTTCTTTAATTAAGAAAGAGCCATTCAGGTGAATAGAATCAATTGGATATTTGTTGCATGTTCTATATAGTAATTTATGTAAATTAAAGAAGATGGATTCATAGATCCATCAGTTCAGCAGAGCGATTAATTTCTGTAGTTTTAATTTATTTTATGTTTTTATGTAATTAATCGATCTGTACCAGGCTTTAATGCACTGCGTAATGCTACATTAATTTCTGTCATAATTTATAATATTCCAAAAAAAAATTCTTAGAACATTACCGTACCCAGAAGCATGGCAACAGAAACAAGGAAAACCAAATCAGAAAGTCTACTGGTAAAATGTGCTAATTGATTATAATTCTTGAGATTATATGGACATAATGATCTATGTATCCTCCCCATAGCTCTCTTCTGTTGAAAATAGTAATTATTTAGACAAAGCCAACCAAAGATTCTAATGTACAGTACATGTATATTGTTATTTGTCCTGTATCCATGTTGTATTTGGGCATCTACCACTGATCAACCAATAGCCATCAGCTGAAAGGTTGATAATTCACGAACCACGTGAAACATATAGAATGTAGATATTTGAAACATACAGGTAGCTTTAATGTCAATATAACTTGAGTATATTTTAATTTGTTAGAAGTCTGTTGTGTTAATCAATGTGATGATGAATCAGAATACAGAGTATGTCAAAATTTTATTATTAAAACACGGTTCATATTTCATCTAATATTTCTTTATTTCAGAAATGGTAAATTAAAATTCCAATATGGTGGTGAAAATAATAAAGATGGAATTGTATCTTGGTTGAAAAAGTAGGTCATATTTGTTTTGACACATTATCACAAGTTTCTTGAATAGACATTGCAGGAAAACGAATAATGGGAGAAAGGATTATTCTAATACATATTCCAGAGAAAATAAATTTATGATATTTATGATATTTTTCTTTGATCTAGTTTTGTCTGTAGTATTAACAATATCAGTATCTCAGTGCTGTAGAATTCTGCAAGCAGTGACATATAATCTTTTGGTCACATATTCTGGGATGATATCCTGAAAATAACAAACAAAATTGTTGTAGCATTGTGTTTATGACATATTTGATTTGGGTTTCTTTTGCCATTTGTTTTGAATCTGTCTGTATTTGAGAAATCTAGGAGATAGATGTAGAATTGTACTATTTGGATCGCTAGGCATTTTATACTTAAATACTTTCAGTTTTATAACGCTTGTCAAGTATGTAAAGTACGTATTTCTTTGTATTTTAGTCCAAGTCCACCAAAGGCACCAGAGAAAGAAGCAGAATGGTCAGATGAAGAATCTGATGTGGTTCATTTAACTGATGAAAACTTCCAGGAATCATTAGATAAACAATCGTCTGCTCTTGTCATGTTCTATGCACCGTGTAAGCAAACTCATTTATAGCAAGTTATTCTTTTCTATACAAAGATTAAAAACTCTTTAATTAATAACCTGCATATATTGTCTATATATTATAGGGTGTGGTCATTGTAAACAGATGAAACCAGGTTATACAGAAGCTGCTGCTTTATTAAAAGCAGAAAATGTAAGTACGCTTAAAAAAATCAATATGCAATTCATTTTGTAGTCATTTTCTATTAATGAAATCTGTTTCTGTTTTCTTAAAAAGGAACATTATATTCCTATTATATTGTAGATACCAGGTATTTTAGCAGCTGTAGATGCTACAAAAAGTAGAAAAAGTGCTGAGGAACATAAAATTAAAGGTTTTCCTACAGGTAATAAAATATAATGTATAGAAATTCTATTAAAAAAAACACCATTTAATTTTAAGCAGTATATGTTTGGAATTTGGAAACTATTTTAAAACCTGATAATGAATAAAATAATTTACAGTAATGATTGAAGTGATTGATGAAATATATGTACCAATTAACTTTTAATAGTCAATATATTGGTCTTTTTTTTCTTGATTAAAAGCTATTATAGATTTTTTATTAACTTTATCTTTTATACATTTACTTTATGCTTAACTTTATTGAACATAATTTCTTACAAAATGTCTTTATTAGTGGATTTATTGATTTTTTTACTTCTAAATTCTGAAATTATCTTATTTCTACTTTCATATTTCCAGTAAAGTATTTTGTGTAAGTACTTTTATTTGTTTTATAAGTTATTTAATCATTTAGATCATTGAATGATAAAAAAAACTATATATGTAAATAGATAAAATTTCAATACATGTTTTTATTCAAATCTATTTTAGAAGTTTAACAATAACAGTTCATTTTGTACTTGTTTGTGTTTAAATGAATATTTCAAATTCAACAATAATAGTTCATTTCATGGTTTATTCCTCTCTTAGTGAAATAAACTTTTAAAAATATTAATACAAGTTTAATGATTTTTCTATTCGTTTGTATAAATGTTTGTATATGTCCCACACTTGAATGGTTAATTTTCTGCAATTTTTTGAAAATTGTGAATTTTAATTTGTACTAAAATGACATCTGTAGACTTAACTTCTGATGTTGCTTGTTGAGGGTCATTAGGCAAGCAAATAAATAGTGTTTTCACACAATCTATGGCACACATTCATAGTCTTGTAACCAACACCAGTGGATACTTACAGATCTATTCTCTTGATTTCATAGTACTTTTATTATTTATTACTTACAGTGTTTGTATGTTATATGTCTTGTTTGTAAGGTTATGAGTGGTCAGTTCTTTTATACTTATTACTAGACTGCATTATGCAATGATTTTGAGAAAAAGAGTAAAATGCCACATCACAAAAGGAAATCTAACAAGTTCTACTGAGAATTACCATTAAAATGGACAAAAGAAAGGAAAGAGTCTCCTAAACTTGACAGAAGATAACTGTTTTTGTTGCTTTTAAAAAGTTATCCATGACAGAATGCCCTTTGTATATTCTGTGAGAAACATTCAATATAGTTAGTTACCTTCCTATTATCTCTTGAAATAAGCTACAAAATGCTTATTCTTTGATATTTTAGAAATGGAAAATTTGAATACGATTTTAATGAAAGAACAAAAGATAAGATAATTGAATTTATGAAAGAGTAAGTATTTTGAATAATTTTATGCCTAAAATGGAATAATTTATTGATTTTCTATGAATATTAATAGTATGAAACCGATATATTGAGGCAATAATTTTGTAAGTGGCAGCCTCATGTCAGTTTTCACCAGCAATGTGAACGTTCTCATATCTGATCATGTGTTGCAGGGGTAAATTAGTGAACTGGATGATACACAAGAATGTCACAGGTGCAAATCCTTGTGTTCAATGAGAAAAATCTCCGGGATAGCATCTACTGGGCTGACATGTAAATGTTGTCTAGTCATTCAGATGGAACAAAAACCTGAGGTCCATGTACATGTTGGCATGCACTTAATAATATAACTAGTTATAATTCAATGTAGAGTACGGTAGTTACAGGCACCTGGCTAAATTACACATTATTAACATGAACATAGAAACAGTAATTGTAAGTTAGTCTCACAAAGATCAAACTATTGTTTACACAAAATGTTATGTTCCATTGTTATATTCTAGTTTTGTAGTTAGTGGTCTGTGTATGAACACTGATGTTTTGATATTAAAAGTAACCTTTTTTTAATAGTCCCAAGGAACCCCCACCTCCTCCACCACCAGAGCCTAAATGGGAGGAAACTGAAAGTGATGTTGTTCATCTTACAGATGAAAATTTTAAACCTGTACTTAAAAAGAAAAAACATGCATTAGTTATGTTTTATGCTCCATGTAAGTAAATATATCCTGTAATTTTATAGGAATTTTCTTAAAAATTCTCCCAAAACTTAAATTTGTTGAAATTCAATTACAAGCTTGGCGGCATTGTCAAGATTCAGTTACAAGCTTGACATTTTCAAGAATCACTAATTTATGATATGAGGTTTGCAGAGAAATATTTGTTCTATTTCATTCATTTCTTCTGTAATGTGTTAGTGAAAGCACATGAAATATGAACATATAAAATTAAGGTATGTTTGATATTGATAGATTGGTACCAATAGGAATTCAAAATTTTTTGTGTTAATAGCATTCACAATTGTGGCTTTGGAGTTCAGCTTTATGCATTATGTTCATACAGTACAGCATTGGAGACTGGATTTAAAATTTGACCAGAAAGTCAGATTAAACAGCATATAACACTAGATTTTCAAATCTTTAGTGCTGGTGCTTAAAATTCATTACTTTAAAATCAATTGTTTCTTATTAAGTGACTAAGATTTGAATTAAGAGATCTAACATTCATAATGTTAAGCTCCTATCACATATAAAGGCTTCAGTTTATACATTATTAGGGTGCCCCACCATAAATAAATATCTCCAAATATCTCGACAATTACACCACAATATTTATATATATACCAAGCCTTAAATCAGTTTCGCACATTTATAGTCACTAAATAAACGATCATGTTGTACTTAATAAGCTATGACCATTTAACCATCCATAAATATTAAACTGAAAAATGGTGTCGGCCATAACATCCGGGCACTTTTGAGTAAAAAAATAGGTTACGTGCCCTTGTTTTGAAATTATTCTCGCTTAACCAGTCTACCAACCATTCTCCATCTGATTGACAGGCCGGGATAATCAAAACTACTTTATTATGAATCATAACAGAAATCTGGAACAATAAATTGAATTTAGAAACATGCACTTTAGGCAACTCAACAATTGTTTTAAGAACCTTGTAAAAGTGAAATGAAACTACTGCTAGTATCATGTTCTTGCCTAACCTGAGTGTTTCAGAGATATTATTTGTACTTGCCCAAAAGATGCTGCTCCTAACCGTATGGTTAATGATAAAACGAACATAATTTCTAAAGTTGCTGTAATAACCAAAAAGCTAAATATAACTGCGATTCAGAATCGTCAACAATAGATTTTTTACGGCTGTAATAGTTGATAGATGTGTAGAGAATTTCACGTGGGATAGCTATTTATAGATTCATAGACTCTTATGCTGAGTGTTATTGCATCGCGTGGTTAGCCAGAAATCACTTTGAGACAAGCCACTGAAGCGTGCACATTCGCCGTGTAGAGTTCAACTTTCTGTAGGGAAAATTTTCGCTGCACGGGACATCCTACTACTGGTATTTGTGTATTAGGTCAGCAAGAAAATTATAACATTTTGACTTCAAACATTCAATAAGCTCTAATTGATTATCTTTAATTACCGTGTTTGGTCATTTGATATTCTTTTTTTTTTTTTTTTTCAGGGTGTGGTCATTGTAAGAAAGCTAAACCAGAATATATGGCAGCTGCTACTAAACTTAAAGATGATGCTAAAGTGGCTTTTACAGCTGTAGATTGTACAACACAATCAGGCATCTGCTTAGCTCATGATGTTACAGGATATCCTACTTTTAAATATTTTAATTATGGAAAAAATTCACAAAAATATATGGGTGGCCGAGAGGTGGGTACAATCATTGATAAGCTTATATTAATGTTTTCTTCTGTACAGTATTAAGAATTGTCTTAAGCAAGATTTTAACCATTTTATTCTTGACTGATTACCACATTCATATTTTCTGTGGTAAAGGGAGGTAACTCTGTTAAACATTTCCGGTTGATTTCGTAAGTGTCAAATAGGGTCAGTAAATTAATCTAAATAAATAATATTAGATATTTAGCCACCTAATTCTTCAACAAAATAAAATTCTCTCAGATTTTTTTAAAGGATTAAGAACTATATATTTTTTTCATGGCCTAAATAAGTAAAATTCTAATCAGATTTCTGCCACATGCATAAATTAAACGAGTTCAAGACTAAACTTAAAATGATATCAATTTCTGAAAGATAAAAACCCCCACCAAAACCTCATAGAAATTGATTAAATATTTTTCAGGAACCTGATTTCATCAATTTTATGAAAGATCCATTAAATCTTGGTCCTAAAGATAAAGAAGATGATGATAAAAAGAAGGATGAAGTTAAGAATCAGTGGAAGGAATTAGAAGGCTATGAAAATGTACACTACCTCAGCACAGAAAATTTTGATACATTCCTTAAAGAACATAAATCTGTTTTAATTATGTTTTATGCACCCTGTAAGTTCTGCAATGTTTTTTTGTTATTTTTTTAAAAATACTTTTTGAACTTTGTAGATTCTATATGTTAGCTTTAAATTAAACTGAATTTAAAAGAGCTCATTGTGTAATTGTATTGGGTGGACCTGATGTGTTAATTTATCTAGTGTTGGGGCAAGTGTATATAATTAAGTTTTTATTTCTCGAAAGGTGGAAAATGAAATTGGTTATATCTGAAGCTCAACACTGAAAAAATATTCAAAACAGATGTAGCTTATTTTTTTTAAAAAATGACCCAATTCAAAGAGGTCTAGCCAAATTTGTGTGGCAGATAAAAAATTTAATGATTAAAAAAAAATGAACACAAACTATAACATTTCATTACATCCGTGTATTTTAGTGACGTCATGTATCCCAAATAAAAACTGAATGACAAGTCAATTTGTTAGTGGTTTTCTATTTTTACAAACTTGCTGGGAGTGTTTGGCAAGTAATGTTTGTTTTTTATTTTATAGGGTGTGGTCACTGTAAGAATATGAAACCAGCATATGTAGAGGCAGCTACCTTACTTAAGGAACAGAATGTGAGTACTAGGTATCAATTATCTGACAAAATAAATGAAAAGAAAAGGGGGTTTAACGTATCAGTGTTTTGCACCAGTCAGGCTAATGAAGATGGGTATAAGCCATACAGTGTGCCATGATGGACATTTCACCTGTATAGCAGTATTTACATCTACTCATCATTTAATTCTGTCAACATTTATTTTATATGCCAACAAATTGACCTCAATTTGAATAGACGCTTTTCCCTACCAGACCCTCTGTTGTGCTCCACTGTCAAGGTAAAATCAAGGAACTGTCTCGGCCCAAACCAGATGAAGACAAAACTTCCTGGTTTATGAAACAGTGCTCTTATAGTTATGTTGTTCTAAGCCTTATGTAAAGTTACTTATAACTTTGTAGTTGTAACACCTGTTGGGTTTAAAAAATTGTGAGGATGTGTTTCTATTTGTGCCGATGTTGCCATAAATCTGAGATCCAGTCTACATGTTAGCAGTAGAAGATAAATGGAAATATGTATGTTAATCAAAATTCTATTCCCCAGTGCAGTTCTGTTACACAAGTAAACAGAAAAATGATGAATGCCATTCCCAAAATGGCATTGAAGTGTACAAAGATAGGTTTAAACCAAGGATACTTGGCCTGAGCGGAGAAGAATCACAATGATATCTTTAGCCTATTAGTCTATTAATCCGTTATCCATTGGTGGCACATAGAAAATAAACCCATGTTAGTTGACATGGCATTATCTCCCTTTGTTTTCTTTCCTATTTTTAAAAAATATAGGTAGCACTTTCAAGACTGACAAGGAAAGTATACCTAGTCTATCGGATAGTACAAAAAAGACCTGGAAACTGAATAAGAGTAGGCAGAAACACCACTGTCTGGGCAACATTCTGTATATATTGCATTCTGCATGTTACTATTGAAATAAAAATTAACATATTTGGGTCTATAAATAACCTACATATTGTGTTGACAATACATAGACCTCATTCTTTATAAACCAGGTCTTGGAAGAGTCTGAACAATATTTGATAAAATTTGTATTATTATATTGAATATTTTTAGGAAGATGGTGTTTTAGCAGCTGTAGATGCTACAGTAGATAGACAGTTAGCTCAAAGATTTGAAGTTACTGGATTTCCTACATGTAAGTTACATTAGCATTCAATATAGTGTGTTTTGTTCGATTTATATGTTTAACTTGTAAATTTGCTAGAGCTTGTTTAATGTAATTTATTTTATGACCCTCTCAACAATTGTCATATTATATAATTGAGTGCACTGCTTTTTGAATCCAAGGTAGAGAGAGAATATTGTCTATTAATATAAACTGAATTGAAGGGTAGAATACTACTTAATGAAATACATTGCATATGGTCTCCTGCTTTTCGAAGCAAGCATGCTCTATTGAAATTGGTTTGTCTGGCTGTCCTTTCATCTGATCAATGTGCAATTTATGCTTAGATTTATCAGAGATAAGCAATTTGATTTGTTGATGCTTTAAACAAAAACTTTAATTCGTATTGAGTGAGAGTGATGAAACGTGGTGTATAGTTTCACTGCATCAAAACTTTGTTTAAGGTTGAGCCTTTTCTGCTTAAGCTGTGTAGAGATAATCAATTTGATTGCTCGATGATTTACAAAATGAGAAATAGCAAGTACCGGTAAATTATAAGTGTCCTCTATTTCTTTTGGGATTGGATCTGGTATGTGATTAAAAAAGAATGGGATTTTCAACACAGAAAGTTAACCTGTAAAAGGAATTATTTTCTAATATTTTACAATTCTTTTCTTTATTTTTTTCATAATAATACCAAACAGTAAAATATTTTAAGTAAGTGTATTTATTACATTCTATAATAAGTATGTGTTTTGTTGTTATTACATTCTAATTACCACAGTAATCAAATTATTTAAAGTTTGCTTAATCTTTCTTGAGCAACCGAAAATAAAGATGCCAAAAATATTACAAATTCTATACTGTACAAATGTCTGACTTTTTTCAAATAACATTTTCTATTTTTATTTTTTACTTTTCTCTTTATTATTAGAAATGGAGAATATGCCTTTGAAGGGTCATCAAGGTCTAAAGATGGTTTAGTACAATTTATGAAGAAGTAAGTTTTGAAAGTACAATAATTATTCCATAGGTGACATGCAAAAAAGCTTAATCTATATATATGCCTCTTATGTCTGCTCTTGCACTGAAGTATATTGTTGTCACTAGTAAGAAATCCTGGTCTATTAAAATATGAAATTTATTTTACACCCAAACAATTTTTTTTCTGTTAACAATTTTTTGGGGCCTGATTTCAGTCCAGTCAGCCACCCCCTTTAATTTGCCACTGTGTGGATGCTCTGCACAATATAGTTTTTGTCTGAATTTTATACACACACATGACCGATAAAAGACACACCACACAGGTTTGTGAAGTCTGGGAAGAGTTTTGATATGGAAATGGTTTAATGTCAGTAACTTGAGAATGAGCTGTAATGAGGACATAGTTCTATACATTTATTATGATTTTAGTTTGAATACTTGTTTATTTCAGTCCTAAAGCCCCAACCCCACCACCAGTAGAAAAAGAATGGAGTGATGAGAAATCAGAAATAGCACATTTAACAGATACAACATTTTCTCAATTTTTACTAGAAAATGAACAAGTTTTAGTTATGTTTTATGCACCATGTAAGTTATGCACCATGTTGCTATCTAATAAAGAAAACTATCAAGAGTTTTATACACAATTTTTATGAAGAAGCCTATTGATTTTAAACATTTTACAATAATTACTATCAAGAAATTTCTTTTGGGATATGGGTTTTGATTGGAGTAAGGGTGAAACTTTGTCATTAAACACAGCTATAATATCTGGCAATGTTTGGTTATATATCTTCTGCTGGAAGATATGTAAGATTTTGTGAAGTTGGAATACGGTGTTAAAACAAACAAGCTAAATCTGTCCGGTAATCAGTGAAATGAACTGGCTGCTATGTACCAATGCTGTTGTTAACCCCTTAACTGTGTAATTAATTTGACTTAAACTACCCCCTATTGCGTAATTAATTTGACGAAAACGTCATTTTTGGGCCTATTTTTTTCTAAATACAAATTTGAGTGGTCTTAAACCATAATAAAACTAACAGTAAAAAGAGTTGTCTCCCTTCAATTACATTTCCTCGACCAGGCGTATTATTACGTCTTCCACATGGTAAGATTGTGTTCGAAGAATAGGTTCGGGAAAATACCTCCAGGGCGTTATATTACGTCCTACACACGGTGAGTGGCAGTTGTCCAGGACGTTATATAACGTCCTACGCAGTTAAGGGGTTAAAGTCTATACTGAAATAGTAGCTCCTTTTCTCCATTCTTCCCTAATTCCCTAACTTGTAAGGAGTAAATGGTAAACAAAAAAGTTAACCCAGTCATATAAATATATGTTAAACACTGTTTAATTTTCTTGATCTGGTTTTTTTTAGTAGAAAATGTTGTCTATTTTAGGGTGTGGTCATTGTAAAAGTATGAAACCAGTGTATAAATCAGCAGCTGATGTTTTAAAGAAAGATTTACCGACTTCTAGATTAGCAGCTGTAGATGCTACTAAATATCCTGAAATAGCTAAACAATTTGAGGTCAAAGGTTATCCAACACTCAAATATTTTGTGTAAGTATACAAAAACTCTTAATATCTGCTGTAACCAAATTACTGAGAATTCGCTCATTTGCTATGCAATGGCTCGACTTTCCACAGCAGCCAGTGTCCTAAGCTTGATGTCATAGACTCTAGAATTTACTTTTAAATGGCTGTTGATGGTTAAATGATGTTGGAAAACAAATCAAATCACATGATCATTGTGGTGTTTTTTTACAAGAAGCTGGGCACAAAATAATGCCTTTATGAGTGGCCACCAAGGTAGAACTTTATCATCTACTGGTTGGTTTCAAAGAACCAAAACAGATGAGTAAGGTCGAAGTAAAGTATTTAATTGGGTTGATCTGATATTTTATTTTTATTTAGTTTAAATTTTGGCTTACTTTAATTGGTGCTATACAAACATTGTCATTTCACAAAATAAATCAACCCACAACATCTACTGAAATAGACCAGTGGTTCTTTAACCTTTTTTTTGCCAACGCCACACCTTGGAACACGTGAAAAAAATGAGTAAGGTCGAAGTAAAGTATTTAATTGGGTTGATCTGATGTTTTATTTTTATTTAGTTTAAATTTTGGCTTATTTTAATTAATGCTATACAAACATTGTCATTTCACAAAATAAATCAACCCACAACATCTACTGAAATAGACCAGTGGTTCTTTAACCTTTTTTTTGCCAACGGCACACCTTGGAACACATGAAAAAAATGTGGCACACCTGGCTAAATATATATGAAAAATATTTGAATTTTGCAAAATAAAAACATGGCAAGTCAGGCGGCATACAACTGTAGTGTAGACAGACAAGTCATAGAGACATAGAATAACTCAAACTAAATAAAGTAAAAACACAGCTATGAACTTATCAGTAGACACCAGTGAATACTCAATTGGGATCACTTGTTTTTCGCATTTTCTTAGTGTGCCATTCAAAATTTCACGGCACACCTAGTAAGATCTAGCGGCACACTTGTTGAGAATCACTGAAATAGACGATGTATTTTTCACCCGAATCAGAATAGTCTGGCCATTATAAATATGAAAGCAGTTTCTGTACATTAATATTTGTTAGATTTAGTATTTATTCACTGATTATTTTATATTTATAGAAAAGGTATTGAAAAAATGACATATTCTGCTGGAAGAACAGAGAAAGCCATTGTAGATTTTATGAAAAAGTGAGTTGTTTTTAAATTATTGTTGAGAATGTATGTTCAATGATAATTTTGGTCTTAATTCTAATCAATTCAAAATTCCTGATTTGGAAGACATAATTGTAAAAAATATAAAAAAAAGATGTAAATGCGGCAATAAGATAGAAAGAATTGTAATAGCACTATTAGTCTGGTCGGGATAGAAAATTTGTGGGAAGAAATTCCTACCCAAATGATTTCTTCATTTTCTGAAACAACTATGTCCCTAGTGTTCCAGAAAAATTTTCCCCGCCGATCGGAGTTGAGCAAAATTTTTTACACCATATTGAAATTTTGACCCCCTGGGTCAACATAATGAAACTGAAAACCATTTATTACTTCAAAAATATCAATTTTACAGCCTAGAAATGTATTATCAACATATAGGAAAGTGATACCAAGGAATCCAGAAATGGCGTCAAAAATAACGTACGACGTCACCGTGACGCCAGAATACAAAATGGCGGAACTATGACGTCACTTTGATGTCCAAAATTCAAAATGGCGGAGACGTGTTGTGAATAAAGCAACAACAGCAAACAGATAGACAAGAGGAACATTCTGGACACCATAAAATATTCATTCGGATCATCATCAATAAAATCATCAAAATATTCTTCAGTTCTGATTTGTTCTACCCCGTGCCAAATTCATCTTCTAAATCAATGCTGATTTGTTCGCTATTCAGACAACCCTCCCCGTGGCATCCTCCACACGCTTCAACACATTTCAAACCATTCTGAATACAAGAACATGACGAGCATTGGTTTTTCAACGATTTACATTTACACCGGATGAAATTCAGAACGTTGTCTGGTGCTGATGGAAGAATCGTCGCGATGGGAACGTATCTATGCTCTATCACTTGCCAACCCCAATTCACAGGATCGACGCCATCGTCTAGTTCATCCCAAATTCTAACCTGAACATGAACGCGGTGAGCATGCTGCTCGGCCGCGGCAGCTGTTGGAGGAAGTCTATTGATTTGAATGGAAATTTTTTCAGCGATCATAGCTTTGTAACTTAGGTACCGGACTTTAGTCAGAGATATCTCATTTTTGTGACCATACATTACACAGAATAACCTTTCTCCAGCTTCAGATACTTCGGACTGGGAACTTCCAGGTGAAGCTATTGTCTTGCTAGCTTCTCGAAAGATGTCACTGTTCGTATGTTTAAGAAGTCCCAATTTACCGAATCCGAAACAACCAGAAGTGGTATCACACCCAGACCAGGCGTGAATGAACAATAAATTGTCTAATACAGTTTTATCCATTGCGCTGCAGACTGATTTTATGTCATAGGTGTTCCGCTTTTTGTCCAAGTGGCGAAGATGAATTGTCGCCATTTCTGCTTTCGCGTGGTGCAGTAATAAGACCAAAATATCTGTGTCATTGGCAACTACCGTAACAGGTTGACAATTTCTAGCGTAGTCAATACACGTCTTAGTAATAGTGACATCTGCATCACCATTGCACCATTTTGTCGGGACTCCATGGGATTCAAGATCGTTGACTACCTGATTGATTAGACGGATTTTGTTTTCAGTGTTGGCCAGAAACTGGGCTTGACTATAGATAACTGTGGTGTCCGATTTCAGAGAAATGTCACTGCTCCTATATTTAGACGTAGCAGCTCGGCGCTCGTGCTCATGATCCTTAATATTTGGTTCATAGCCGTCGAACACGACGATTGGCGAGGGAAATCTTTTTACAAATGACCGATAGTTTTCTAAGATGTTGGAGATATTCGTACCCTTATTCCACCTTACAAAATTAATTAGCAGACCTCCATCAATGACAGTTATTTCATTGGTGAGCGAAGTGTTCGAAACGGGTGAAACGTTCTTGAGCAAATGCTGAGCAAGATCGGACTTGGTTACATGTCGCATGAAAGCTCCTGCAAACAGTGAGGACGGGAAGGCACTCAACTCATATTTGAAGAACTGTTGAATATCTGTATCTGTCCGCTGTGCCACCGTAATACATCTTTGAAAAAGAACTTCTGGTTGCACTCGCACTGTCTTGCCTTGAACTTTAACACCTGGCTTCAGGTCATCCAGAGTCTTCACGACACTAGATCGTCGGATCTTTGCTTCCGAAAAAATAACGTTGTTAAGAGATTCTTGGATCTTGTATCCGATAGTTACGGCGTCATCACAATTTATCCCGTCCCCGGATTGGGACGTCAACCCAGTCGAGAGTGACCGCAAGTCGGAGACTTCGCAATCGAACGGATTGTTTGTATCAAACCAATCGATCAATTTAATTAGATGATCGGTGTCTGTTCCTCGACGCGAAATACCACATTCAACATGCTGTTCAGATGTGTGTAGGTCTTTACCGGTCAAATTTGACATGGCCATGTGCATCGCGATTATAAAAGGTTTACAATAGACGAATTGTTGTCTCACACTTTCAGTGAACCCGCGACCATGAGTCAGTCCACTGCGAATTTTCATCGATCGCATGGCGGTTTGTTCAATACAGAGATCGTTTGGTAAGCCATTGAACGGATGACCCGACCGTTGTATTACATGCATACCTTTTTGCGCGTAGAGTTCATGTAAATTTGGATGAGTGTGGGGAAGTTCACGCATTTGCTGCAGATATAGTCGAGCAGACTTGGCATAATGCCCATGTCCCGCTGCAGCGAACAATGGAAGAAGTTCATTCGTGATGTTGAGATGCCCATCCCAAAATTTAAGTCTGTCACAAGCTATGAAATATTCAACAGTTTTGATTTGCTCTAAAAAGTTTATCCATAGTTTACAAGTTCTAGACTTACTTTTCAAGTTGTCTTTCAGCAAAGATAGTTTGACGTCCAAACCACATCGGTGGATGGCATCTACAATGTCTTCAAGTTTACATTCCTCGAGCATAAGGCATTTTTTTGTGAATTCTAGGAGCTCTTCTTCGGAAAAGATTGGTTCCATCATTGATATCAATTTGTAGGATAATGCGGCGTCCAACAAATGGAGAGCCCGGATCGCTCTAGCTATTGCTTTCCCACTTATAATCTGTGGTATGCTGTTTTCTGCATATACTACCTTCAAGGCATCTTCCACACCCGAACCTTTCATAAAATGGAACAAACTTCCAATTGCACTCATTAGCATATGGAATTGGCCCATTCTAACACAAACATTATTGATGCATTTGGATAAAGTGATTTCGACCGCCTTGATATATAACGGTTGGTCAAATGTAACAGAAGTAGAATCGACGGCCGACTTGCTCACCTCTTTGGATATGTAACTGAGGCAAGAGAATAGTGTTGTTTCATCGCTGGGGTTCAAGTCTATCAACGGTAAGATTGCAATGCTATCAAGGTCAGTTTCATCAGTACCTTTGAATATGTAAGTCATAAAACCAGACCAATTTAACCACGATTCATTTGATTCCCGACAACGAATGAACAAAGTTGAAGACCAAATGATGTTGGAATAATAAATCCACGGCATCTCGACATAAGGGACTTGCAGCTGAACTAATGGTTTCAATTTGACCCCACTTAGTGCAGGTGGTCCTGACTCCTAGTTGTACGTAATTCAAAATGGGTATACCTCTATTTTCTGTGATCTCGGAAACTTTTACCCTGGCACGTCGTCGAACTGACTTGTTATCATATCGTTTTAGCCTCTGTTTTGTGGCGCATATAATAGCAAGGCCGTGAAATGTCCCTTTACCATCTATGGTTTTAATATTGGCGTCAGCGTTGTCAGCAACAAAACTAACAGGTGTTGACTTTTCTATTGAAAAGTTATTGATATCAGCATCTTGCACCAGCGAGTTTTTGAAAAGTTGAATCTCATCATACGATGTGCAAAACCCCAATGACCATAGTTCTTCTATCATCCACTTTGAACCGATCATATGATCTGTTTCAAGACCAAGACCAAACAGCAATGGAGCAATCACCGACCGAGGCCTAGTGGCTTGAGTTAGGGCTTGGCCGATTGCCGCAGATTTCAGGGTCTCTCCAATCAGCTCTTTCAAAAATACACGCATACTGTTCACTAGAAACGATTGACAAGTGTCAACATCTTTAACATCGTTTTGGTTAGGATAAGTTTCTTTTTCATAATGTCGTTCCTTTATCTCTGCTTTGATGAGTCGCGCAGCCGTTTTCATGATTCTACGTGATTCAGACTCTACATCATTTTCTTGATTTTCACACCATGACTGGTTAACTATGTAACCCGCCATATTTTTAAAACACACAACGTCTTTTCTCGTCCCACATGCTTGAGCGAAGAATATATGATCCCCGTACCGTTGTTTTAGCCTTTCTCTCATCCACTTTTCAGAACATACGTTGTCAGGATCACCACTCAAATCAATCATTTTTTCATAGAGTTCTGTAAGTGAGTAAGGTTCAACTTCTTTTTCCAACCAATCACATAATAGCTCAAAATTAACAGCATGGGTTTTATTAACTGGACGTCCGGGTACGTCTGAAACGGGGATTTCTGACAATTTAAATTCATGGTAGCATCGCTTATGATAGCGGCTGTTTGGAGAAACTAAATCATTGCATGACAATAATCGCGGTTTAACATCCTCGGTCCATCGATGGGCTTTTGCATCACAGTCTCTAAGAAGTGATTGCTTCAATTCCAGGGTTCGCACAATCACGATGGGGTCGCGATTTGGGTTTTTTGTGTCTTGTATGGCTGGGGCTGAGCAGAATAGGCAGTGTATATTCCAATCAAACGTGGACAAACTCGATCGTAATTTCTTCGCGGTATCATCATCACCCGAACATCCGGCATCATTCGCCCGTTTGCGATAATTCTCATTGATATTTCTACGACAATATTCATGAATATAGCATAAATCTACCTGTTGGAATTTCCATTTCAAGTTTTTATGCACATGAGCCTCGCATGATTTCATCAACGTTTCTCGTCCAGTTTTGCCGACTTTGGTCAAATGTCCATTTTTCACACCTTCCCCGCATTCGATACAAACTCTGTCAATGGTCGGAAGCAATGTCTGAGCCATTAATGACCTCGACGATGAACCAGCAATTTGTTGAGAAGTCGTAAACGTGCCTCGTGCGTAAAACTACTTTCAGTTTGATCCACGGCCAGCTTCAGGGCTGGATACAAGTCAGACCAGCTTCAGGGTTGGATACAAGTCAGAATAAGCAGAGTGGCTAGTTAGAATAAGAAATTACAACTTGCGTATATTTGACAAAGGAGAAAAGAATTCTGACGTCACAGTGACGTAATAGTTCCGCCATTTTGTATTCTGGCGTCACGGTGACGTCGCGCGTTACTTTTGGCGTCATTTCTGGATTCCTTGGTATCACTTTCCTATATGTTGATAATACATTTCTAGGCTGTAAAATTGATATTTTTGAAGTTATAAATGGTTTTCATTTTCATTATGTTGGCCTAGGGGGTCAAAAGTTCAAAGTGCTGTAAAAAATTTTGCTCAACTCCGATCGGCGGGGAAAATTTTTCTGGAACACTAGGGACATAGTTGTTTCAGAAAATGAAGAAATCATTTGGGTAGGAATTTCTTCCCACTAAGCTGGATTTGTCACCTTCTCCAACCAGCCTATATGATAGGGTGACCCATGTACTCACAGAAATACAGTCCACCGCTGATAGTTCGAGACTACCACTGAAGCGTGCACATTCGCCGTGCCGAGACCAACTTTCTGACAGTATGATACTATAAATAGCCATGGCACGTGCAATTCTCTACAAATCTATCAACTATTACAGCCGTAAAAAATTTATTGTTGACGATTTTGAATAGCAGTAAAATTAAGCGTCTTGGTTATTACAGCAGATTTAGAAATTACGTTCGTTTCATTTTTTAAATCGCTTTATCATTAACTGTACCGTTAAGAGCGGCATCTTTTGGTTTAGTACAAATAATATCTCTGAATCACTCGGGTTAGACAGGAACATGATACTAGCAGTAGTTTCATTTTACTTTTACAAGCTTCTTAAAACGATTGTTGAGCTACCTAACGATTGTTGAGCTACCTAACGTGCTTATTTCTAAATTCAATTTCTTGTTCTAGCTTTCTGTTATGTTTCGTAAAAAAGTAGTCTTGATTATCCCGACCTGTCAATCAGACGTAGAATGGTCGATAGACTGGTTAAGCGAGACTAATTTCAAAACAAGGGCACGTAACCTATCTTTTACTCAAAAGTGTCTGGATGTTATGGACGACTCTTGGAACCAGTTTTCAGTCTATTATTTATACATGATTAATGGTCATAGCTTATTAAGTACAACATGATCGTTTATGTAGTGACTATAATTGTGTGAAACTGATTTGAGGCTTGGCATATATATAAATATTGTGGCGTAATTGTCGAGATATATGGAGATATTTATTTATGGTGGGTCACCCTAACTATGATAAGTAATTCAGGCATACAATGATCGAAGGATATTATAGAAAAAGGGGATCTTGAGACACCTTGCATTCTGTAAATAAATGTAGAAGCTTGTTATAATTTGACATGGAAATTATAAACTGTTGTGTTTATGTATTTTTCAGTCCTAAAGCCCCACCACCACCTCCTCCACCAGAACCAGAATGGAGTACTATAAAAAGTGGTGTTAATCATTTAACAGATGAAAATTTTGGAGATTTTATAAAGAACCATTATTCGGTATTGGTGATGTTTTATGCTCCCTGGTGTGGCCATTGTAAGAAAGCTAAACCAGATTACCAAGCTGCAGCAGATAAATATATAAAAAGTGAAACCAAAAAATTAGCTGCTGTTGATTGTACAAAAAATAAAGGTATATTTATATTCAACTATACAGTGATTATGCATGCAAATAAAGATAATTAAGAATGGGGGTTCTGATTAACAAAAAACATTTATGAGGGGTAGTTGGCCAAGTGGTCTAATGTGCTACACTGTGGATTATAAGGTCTGTCCTCTATTCAAGGTCATGTTTGGACCATACATGTTAATCTAGTAATGACCTAGTTATGTTGAGTTGACACTAAACCTCATTTCCTTCCTTATCAGTTTGGTAATAGTAATAACTTATTAACACACATTTATCTCATTGGGTTGATTTGATATTGAATGACCCAAAAGTGCATAGATTTCTTTGGTCTTGAATATTAAAGATACATTCCTGTGTACAAACTGGGTGATTTGATGATATATTTGGCCGAAAAACATATTAATTTATTATAAATTTGCTTCAAATCCTTCTCAAAACATTGTAATTGTCAAGGAATACCCTTGTAAATTATTGATCAGAAGAAGTCATGTTTGTGTCACGTGACTTACGGGTGCGAAGTCGAAGGAGAATTCATTGCATACACAAGATGATGTTGTCTTTAATCGCTGACTATTTATTAAAATTATCAAATCCTAATTAAATTCTTGAATTATCCACTGCCTGCGTCTTTTTCCGTGATTTTTATCTCAGAAAGTGTTGTACGTCTAACTCTTCATAAAGTTTATCAAGATGTACATCAAGCGCTCAATCTCCGCATGCAACCTTTGTTGTCACGTGTGCAGATATTCCTAATCGTCGGGCTGTTGATTAGGGGAACCCTGACATTTTTGTCCTGTATACACTCCATGAGTGTTTTTCAGGAATCTAGTATTTTTCTAGTAAGATTGGATATCTCTACTTTCCATATACACCAAATTTGCCATACTTTTATTGGAAATAACCACCCGATAAATACTTTTCTGGGAACCGATCTTTAAGCTATTGTATATTTTATGAACCTCTAAATTCTCATGAAGATTATATTTGTCTATGTTTTCAGATATTTGTAAGAAAGAGGAAGTTAAAGGGTACCCAACGATTAAATTTTACAAGGGGGGTAAATTTAAAGAAATGTTTTCGGGATCACGTACAAAAGATGGTTTTATAGATTTTATAGAAAAATCTGGTAGCAGAGAAAAAGATCCTAAAGAAGAATTATAGAATATATTTAAATTGTATATTTAGAATAATAAATATTTTAATTATTATAATATTTCAGTTTATTATTTTGTTCAGGGGGGTTGAATGGGCGAATGGTTAGCATGTGTGTGCTGTATCATAAGGTCTGTCATTGTGTTAACTGGCATGGTTTCAATTCCCCGGTTCTACTTGACAAGGGGTAGGGTCACCTGTCCAACCTCGTGGGTTTTCTCTGGGTCCTCTTGACTGCTAAAGACCCCTACACACAAGCAAATTATTGAAATAAATTGAACCATATGTTAATCATAAAATGACCTAGTTTGTGTCGATTTCTCTCTTGCTCTCTTATTTTGTTCATGTTAAGGAAGTCATTCAATTTTACATCTTTTAGGATAGAAAAGAAAACAAGATCTTGGATTCTGATTTGTAGCATGTGCAGGAACATGGATTGCTATAGGATATCTTTTGATGGTATATTCTCAAAATTGAGGCATTAGTCTTGAAATTGAGATTCCTAGACCTACAATCCTAGAATTGTCTCCGATATAGCACTAAGAATTTAGTCATTTTAATCTTGTTACATGGTTAATGGCCAAAAAAATAAACACATTTAACACACTGTAGGATTCAGACATAATTGCTTCAACAAATTGTTTTGTACTGGACTGATAAAAATAACGTTTTATGTACCTGTGCCAGATTGTATAATATAATAATTGGATGTGCATACTAGATTATAAATACTGCAGAAATTAAGTCATGAATACTGATTAAAGTTACAATTTCATATTTTCTTAGAAAGTCAAAACATAATTATTTCTATGTCTTTTGCTCAATAGGTTGTCAACTCACTATTATACGATCATAGGTGTCATTCTCACACTTAAAACTCATTTACACCGGAAATAATAACACAATTACCTCCCTTGTTTTCTATTCTCCACCATGGAGTAAAAGATGAAAATGATATTTTTGCCATTTTAAAAATATAACTTAAAAAAATGAAATTGCAACTTTAATCCATTGAGACAGTTTATCTTGCAACCAGTTTACAACCATGTTGATTGTACAAAAAATAAAGGAAGAGAGCTGGCTAGCCAATCAGACGGTCCGAATTCGATTCCCGGGGTTTGTCAGTGGTGCATGATGGAGAACCTGTGACAGTTGGAATTCCAGTTAGAGTAAAATGTAACCCCACTGTCCTGCAACATTTCCCTCATAGCACATGCACACTGTCTGGGGTATAACCATCTTCATTATTCCAGTTGGTGCAGAAAAGTAGGACCGTACACCATATTCATTTCCCCAGGGAAAGATGCTTTTTTAAAATTCTTAAATGCTAAGCAATTTATTTATTTCTATAGTACATGTTATTATATTGTTATGGAATGTACTTAAAATTTTACACAAATGAAATGAGCTATGTACAAATTATTTTTTCCTATAAAAATCATTCAGCTAAAAGAAAAGCTTGGCACAAACATAAAATACATGTAAAAAAAAAATTAGTCATTAAAATATTATTTCAATTCAAAACACATAATGGTAATAGTATTCTTTAAATAATATCACTGTTCTCTAAAACGAAACGTGAACCCTAAAACATCAAAGATGGGCACAACACTAAATTATAAGTACAGTTAATTAAGAAGAAATAAGCACAATAATGATGATATTAGCAAATAGATTGTTGAAGTGAGTTTCGAACCTTTAGCTAAGAAACCTTGAATGTTTTCTGCCATAAGAGCATCTAGATGAATTTGTCCACCTGAAATATAGAGAATAAATGATATGAGATGCAGATTTAATATAAACTATAAAAAAAATTAAAAAATGAAGGCTTATATAGATAGGTTGTAATTCTGTAGACAACTCAGCCAGGCCAAAAATAATCCTTACACTGTTTCACCATACTGGCACAAGCCAGAGTCTGAGGTAATTAGAATTAGTATCAACGGTCCTCCCCCACCCCCCTCTGTGAATGGCAAGGGGATGTACCCACTAATGAGGTGTCTCATATTGAAACTGGCCAGTAGCGCTATATACATGAATTGTAAGGTTGTACATGACAACATGCATGCGATCTTTATTATTAGCCAAAATTATATAACTAAGCCTAAAGTAACCATACAGATCCTCACTTTGACCAATTGCTGACCATGATTTATCTCAATCAACCCAAAAGGTAATGTTAAGATTAAGCCATGGTATATTACTGCAACATGAAAAATCTCAAAAATAGGAATATTGCAGTGATTAAAGTTCATGATTATAATTTGTTATTACCTAGTGTAAAATATAATGTAGGTGATTTTTTGCCTTCACCAGCAGCACTGATACCACCCACTCTAAGAGCATATACAACATCTGCTTCTAAATCTTCTAATACAGCCTGAGTATCTTTTAAACCATCTGTATCATATGACTCGCCTGTTAAAGAATCTTCTGTAGCTGGCCAATAATAAACCTGTAATAGTACATAGAGTAATGTTTTAATGACAAGAACTTGTGAAGTAATAAAGGAAGAGTTCTTAAAGGACAATATTGGTGCCAGTCATTATCACATATGTGATAGAGCTGGTTAAACACATTCCAAATATATTTTTAACACAGAGATCATTGCTACGATAGCTGAGTAATAAAGGTGACAAACGCCAAAGGAAAACACGAGTCGCTGCTCTATATAACTGACTGAAGCGACGAGTGACAACAGATACACGGCCGAATTTCTACTCACTTATAATTCCTTCCAAGACCAAAAGTTGTTATATGGGACTGTAAGAGGATATCTGACAATTCAATAAAGTAATTGAATGTCATTAGATAAGAGAACACGAGAAAAATAGAAATAGTCTGTACATTTCCTTGTTTATATTCATTCTATACCTTATAAAAACATGGTAATGCACGGACTTTTTCTGTTTTTATTACGTGTTCTCTTATCTAGTGGCAGTCAATTCTTTTTATGAATTGTCAGATATCCTCTCGCAGTCTCACACAACAACTTTTGGTCTTCGAAGGAATTATTAGTGAGCAGAAATTCGGCCGTGTATATGTTATCACTCGTCGCTTCAGTCAGTTATATAGAGCGGTGACTCGTGTTTTCCTTTGGCGTTCGTCACTTCCGATACGGGAAACCTATATTACTCAGCTATCGTAGCAATGATCTCTGTGTTAAAAGTATATTTGGAATGTGTTTAACCAGCTCTAACACATATGTGATAATGACTGGCACCAATATTGTCCTTTAATATCAGTGTTGTGATTGTTCCTCATCATCTTAAAATTGCTCAAATCTTTTGATGCGATACAGGCCAGAGTTCTTGATGGAATTTTGTTCAAATGGATTGGACTGTTTTAGTACCACATAGCTTCATTGACTACCAGTTAGATAATTAAGTAAATCCCAATGGCGTGCAGAGGTTAGGTTACACCCGGGGCCAACTGCTTGGTAGTATGCCCCCCTCCCCCCACGAGTAGGCCCTATGGGGCTAGTACAGGGAAATGGGAGCAAGAAAGAAATTTAAATATTTAAATTTCCTCTTTTGCCTCTTTGCCCAACTCCCTACACGCCTTGTTAAATGCTGCAAAAAAACAGTAATTGACTTACTCTATAGCCGTTAATTAAAGCTTCATCATATGTAGTTGTAATACCTCTCCACCATACACGACAACTATTAGCTCCATGTGAAAACACACGTACTTCTTCTGGATACGAATTGGTCGCTGTATTAATAGGCAATATAAAAAATTATGGTAAAAACATGGTAGCACTAGAGGTCATTAGAAGTGAGGAAACCAAAATGACTATACACTGTTTCTTGTCTGGTCCTCCATCCTGAACCACTTGGCTAACATATTGGACTAGTTCTTGACAAAATACTCTCAGACTGATCGTGAACTTCACCAGTGAGTCGACCAGTCAACAATCAGATTAAAATACAGATCTATATTTCATCTCGTTTTTTATACTTTCGATGGATCCACATGAAGATCTAAACAGTTGTAATGGGAGGTTGCGTCAGGGGTCATACGAGCGTCTTTTGACCCTATGATGTCAGACATTTGATTAACCAATCAGTATTGATGTTTCTAGTATGATACCCACAGTTCTGTTCACCTAATGTCAAGAACTTGCCGTAACAGATTGTTTCATTGGCTATATCACTCTCATTCTGAAGGCTATCTAATCTAACCACTGCCCTGGGTCTTGCCACAGTAACTGATCTTCATGATATCTTTCTCCTTAATTGACCGATCGCAGCTATCAACTTTTCCATATCGTCATCATATTACCCCTAGATACAGCTTTCATCAAAAAACACTGGTACAGTAAACTGTTTGTAATTATTATTTTGGTTTGGTAATGAAATGTTCCAGGTTCCAGGGTTCGTCCGCCCCCCCCCCCCCAAAAGTTATGACAAATCCACGCCCTTGCAAGGTATAGGCAAGATGTCTTGACCAATGTCATTGGAGTACTGCTGCAGTTTTCTTCTCTGTGATTGAATGTGTCTAGGTCCTATGTTAATTGAGAAAAAAGGTCTATACTTACGTAATCGAGAAGTCTCCATGAAATAGGCTTCACTCCTAGGTCCTAAACCAGCTGAATTATAGACTTGTACATCAACCCAGAAATTGGTATCAGAAGCTAATCCTATAACTAATCCTGTATCACGCTGACCTCTGTGACGTATAAACATCAACCAATAATCACCCTCATCTGGCCAATAGTTTATCTAAATAGTAATTATACAGGATAAAACATTAAGTAATCTATCTGGACTAAAACAAGTGTATAATTATCTATCTCAACTAGAACCAGTGTATAATAATCTATCTCGACTAGAACCAGTGTATAATAATCTATCTCAACTAGAATCAGTGTATAATAATCTATCTCAACTAGAACCAGTGTATAATAATCTATCTCAACTAGAACCAGTGTATAATAATCTATCTCGACTAGCCAAACGATCACAGGAAGTATGAAATATTGTTTTCGCTTGAAAACTTAAGAAGCGTTTACAAGAATTTGGGGACATGGGTAACATGGGAATGTAATATAAGTAATTTCAACTAAAACCAATGTATAGAAAATATACCTAGACTCAAAAACTAGTATATAAATGTGAAACATTATATTATACAGTGTATTTACCTGATATCCTAAAATCTTGCCTTTTGCTGTGTTTCTTGTATCTGGTACCGGATCCCATGATACTTCTAAAGCTGTACCATTATAGGTATCACTCGCTACATTAGTTGGTGTTAATGATGGCACTACAAACATTTCATATAATAAGAATGACTTCTAAGAATGAAACTTTAGAAAGAGAAACTAGTTGATGAGATTGCATTGCTTCTTTAATATACTACTGTATAGACCAGCAATACAATCCAATGGGGTCATGCCATAGTCCTGTCCGTGTGCCTGTTAACCCTAATTTTACATGTTCAACTTCTTCTGAACCACTTGGCAAATTTCAACCAAATATGGTACATATTTTGCTTGGGTCGTGCTTATACAGACCTTTAAAGTTAATCGTTTGAAAAGATATGGGTGGGGCAACTTAAATTTAGATATTTTCACATATTTTTGACCTAGAAAATTAAGCCCACTGATGAGGGCTGTGTGGTGTTGTTTATTTAAAAGAATGGTTTATTTTCTCATTTATTGAGAATAAAGGCTATACTCACTATCAGCTGCTGAGAAAATGACGGCAATAGAAGAGTTAGGTCCCATTCCCTCATTGTTAAAGGCTTGAACTTGAATCTGATATTCTAAATAAAAATTTTCTTGACCAACGGTATGAACGTACTGATCAACATTGCCAGTTACACGATCCTATAACAACAATAACATTAATTATTAAAAATTATTACGCAATTGAAATTCATGCAAAAAAATAAAAAAGTCATGCACAACCAATAATATATGTAAGTACGCATACCCTGTCTGTCACACAACACAAGCCACTGCCTCGGGCAAATTACTAATTTCAGGTGCATGACATATTTCATATAGATTTTTCTTCATAGGAAATTAAATTGCCAAAAATGCCCATCAATAACACTCAACCACTGGATGTGTGCTTCATTCCAGTGACCAGCATGTGCGATTTGTTGCAACTGCTTGAAATCTATTCCATATGTTAAATCTTTTTAAAATAATTCACTTTAGCAGTGAGAAGGAACTGTAGAACTTGGAGAAAAACCACAAGGGTAGACAAGCAACAGTCCTTGTTATGTACATGCCTGGGATCTAAACCACAACACTTGCGTCAATGGCCGACCTCATGATCTAAACTGCGCACATTACCATCCTACTATTGTTGTATTATCTAATGAATGCAAACAAGCCAACAGTGAGACTGATGTCCCCCGCCAAAATCCCAAAATAAATAGATGACATATATTAATTAATTGCAAATTTATCTTTTTCAAAAGTATCAAACAATCAAACTGATTATCAACTATACACTAAGTTTCATCATTCTCTATCAGATAGGATCAAATTCAAAGAAATTACTCAGCTCTGCTTAGCTTTAGCAGGAAATGTTAATCATTGAACTGTCCAGACATTCACCTAATGAACATCAACATCAAGTTTAAACATTCTACCTTAATTAAAAGCTGTTATGTTCCAAAGTCTTGACCAATCAAATTGCTTATCGCTCCTTAGCCTAAGTAGAAAATTCCCATCAAACTTAGTCATCGAACTCCATCAATGCATTCACCTAATGAACACCTATACCAAGTTTGAACATTCAACCTCAGTTAGAAGGAGAGTTATTGTGTTTCAAAGTCTCGACCAGTCAAACTGCTTATCGCTCGACTTACCCTGAGCAGAAAATGCTCACTATAGAATTTAATTATGGTATTGATGTAATGAAACTATACACCAAGTTTCATCACTCTCACTTAATTAGAACTAAAGTTATCATGTCCCAAAGCATCAACCAATCAAACTGCTTATCTCTGCTTACCTTTAGCAGAAAATTCTCATCTTCGAACTCTATCAAGGTATTCAGCTAATAAACACCTACACCAAGTGTGAACATTTTTGCTCAATTAGAAGGAGAGTTATTGTGTTCCAAAGGCTCGACCAATCAAATTGCTTATCGCTCTGCTTACCCCAAGCAGAAAATGTACATCATTGAACTTATTCAAGGTATTGATGTAATGAAACTATACACCAAGTTTGATCACTATCACTTAATCAGAACTAAAGTTATTGTGTCCCAAAGCATCAACCAATCAAATTGCTTATCTCTGCTTATCCTAAGCAGAAAGAGTTCATCTTCGAACTCCATCAAGGCCTTGACCTAATAAACACCTACACCAAGTTTGAACATTCTAGCTCAATTAGAAGGAGAGTTATTGTGTCCCAAAAAGTGTAATGGACAGACAGACCCAGATTAATACTCCCCTGCTTTCTCTGAAAAAGAAATATATCGGATAAAAGTGATATCTTATCAGCATGGATTATATCAATTGAATATAAGTAGTGATGTCTTACCGTTCTCCATTGCCTGCCAGCATCTGTTAATTTTCTCCAGTATAAAACATAACCAATACCTGGTCCACCTTGTTCATATCTTGGTAATGGCTGTAATGTACACATTATTAACATATACAAACCTAAAGTAAAACCTGTTAGCTAGGTAAACTATCTAAATAAATGAGAGCACAGTAATTATGCATGTGGTGTGCAATGCTGTACAAGAGAAGATATAGTTTGACTGCTGGAGCCTTAGCTCTATAAAAGTAATCATATTTTTTACTAGACTGGGTCATTTGTTATGGTATGGTTTGCCCTTCCCCTAAAACAACCCCCCCCCTTCATCCCAAAAGGACTTGCGAGAGTACATGTTAGCAAAAGAGCTTGTGATTTCCCTTCTCACTCCCCAAAACATAAACAACAGCAGCCATTGGTACAAGATTTGTTATACTTATTTAAACAGACATTATGCAAGAGCTAAATCTGCCTATTGCAGATCTTTCTTTAGGCCTGAAATGTTATCTTATTATTAATTAGACATTAATTAACTTATCCAGACCATAATCAACTCTTGATGTCATCGCTAGCCTGCTATATTTATTGGATTTGAATCCGATTTGCTGCTCAACGCTCATGGATGATTTAATCCAAAATTGGATAATTGAGACTGTTTTTTTATCGCACTGACTTTAGTAATGATGATCCATGCTGGACCTAAAATTCAAAAGCTAATATCTCGGTTTAGGGTGGATCAATTTGACTGCAATTTTCAGCAAATTCTGTTTACATTATCTAATTTTCAACTATTATAGTGAGAACTGCCAGCTCTTTATCTAATCTACCATAATGCCCCTTTAATGAATATACGCCAGACAACCACCCCTGATAAGTGAGAGCCAGACTTGCAAAATTCTAAAGTTTCTGGGATTTGGTGTAGTCTAGTGTTCATGGAATGAAATCTCGATGCCCCCATCTCTTCCTCAACACAAGCAGTTTGTTAAAGAAAAATATATGATAAAATAACTTACATCCCATCTTAATGTTAGATCCCCAACGCTACCACCACCACCTCGTACATTTTCTGGTGATTTAATGGGTGGAGCATATGGTGTTGTCATGGCAGCTACAAATAAACAACAAAAACATGTCAATAATAGAATAAATACAAACATGTGAATAACAGAATAAACAGAAACATATCAATAACAGAAGAATCAATGTCCATTCTATCACACTGCCAACAAGAATCAACGTTCATTCCAGCACATTGCCAAAAAGAATCAATGTCCATTCTAATACATGAGTAAAAGAATTAATGTTTATTCTATTACATGATTAAAAGCATTAATGTTTATTCCATCATACGAATAAAAGAAACAACAGTAAATCCACCAATTCTTTATTTCCAATCACTTGAATACTGATTATAAGTGATTTTACCTGATGGAAGACTAGGTTGACCTAAACCATAAGCATTAGCTGCCAACAAGCGAAAGTAATGAGCTGTTCCTGGACTCAGTCCTCCATATATAATTCTTCTCTTATCTTCAGTATCAACCAGTGTATCTTCTTCATATACACCTGAAAAATATAACGGATTTTAGTTAAATAAAAATAAAAACAATCCACCCTAACAAAGGTTGATCATTGATGGTCCAATAAATAAACTAAGAATTAGATTTAAAATACTAAATAGATATGAGACCCTTATTTACTTACTAGGTAAAACCGTTGACCATTCTGTTTCAAATTCTGTTTTATGTTGAAGAACATAATAACTAATAGGTCGACCATTAGTTGCTCCAACCGTCCATCTTATATGTGCTGTATTCTTCGTAACATACTCATCATCTACATATACTCCGACTGGTTCACCAGGGGGACCTTTAAATTAGCAAAAATACAAAATGTGGATGAATTGTTCAGCAAAACACTGAACAAACAGTACAAAAAATCAAAAATTAATGACAGCATACTTTATCCTTTGCATGATATGTGTCACGACTTGTATGTATACTTGCAAAATGAGGTACTAGCCACAAAGTATGGAGGCAGTTGTGATTCGTGGAAATTTAGAATGTATAGTAACAAAAGTGTATAAATTGCAAATTAGTCTTAACAATGCATGCCAGTTTGTTGTCGATTCTTCTATCCAATCTATTTAAGGTGACTTGCCAGGCAAAGGAACTTATGCTCATACCAGTATAAAAACTTGGGATATAGTAAAATTGTGACAGTTAATGGCACTATAGCCATGTCCTAGATGTGTTTTTATACTGCTTTAAATTAATATAAAAAAAATGGGTAACTGCTGAAGTTTAAAGCATGCAGCATCGAACTTAGATATAACTTACCTTTAACAGTTAAAACAGCACTTCTACTATCACTATCAAATGGTGTAATACTGAGACATTCGTATGTACCAGCATGACGTAATTGTGCTGCTATAATATATAAACCAATCTTAGAAGTACTAACTTCCTGAAAATAATCAGTCAACCATTAATAGTCAATAACGAACATGTGATTTATATACAAAAAATGCAAAAATTGGGTGTGGCTCTGCCCCTGGGGTTTGGACATGGACCAATATGAATGGGATCCCAAATATGTTAATAACTGCAACCTATAGATTATTTAGAGACAAAATATTAACAAAAAGTGGGTGTGGCACCACCCAAGGGGGCACAGATCATGTACCAAGATCAATAGTTGCCGTCCTTGGGGTATAAGGAATAAGTATAAAAAATTCCAAGGTAATCCATTTAGAATTGTGGCATTCAGACCATAAAACCCCACAAAATAGGCATCCTTAGGACATAAGCAATAAGTATACAAAGTTTCACGATGATGTGTTAATAGTCATGGCTCTGCCCCTGGGGGTAGGGCATGCACCAAAAACAATAGGGGTCATCCTTAGGGTATAAGGAATAAGTATACAAAGTTTCAAGACAATCCAGAATTGAACCCAGGAAATGTTCTCAAAAACGCATCCTGACTTCTGAGATGGTAATGTGTTCTCCATGATTTTCATATAACTCATGCTGCACGTGATGTTCACCGGGACCAGCCCTATAAAATGCACCCCCATACCTGGTTGAATCATTCACACTACAACGTCAGCAGCATGCCACGACTCACGACAGTTCAGAGGAACCACCTCTTGGAAGACTCAACGCTGGCCATACTGCCCAAGTCGTTGCCAATCACTTACAGGTCAGTGTTCGGACCATCTACAGGCTTCAGCAAAGATTTCGAGCCACTAACACCACGGATGATCGGCCCCGAACTGGTTGACCAAGGGTTACCACAAGGCGACAAGACTGCAATGTTGTGCGACAGCACGTGCAGAATTCCTTCACACAGGCATCTGAGACAGCACGTCAGACAGTGGGAACACACTGAAGACCCATGAGTACCGATACAGTGCACCAACATCTCACCGGAGAGAACATCCACTGTCGTAGACCTTACCGTGGACTGATCCTCACCATCGACGTCTACAGTTTGCCCAACACCACCAGAACTGGCGGCAATGGAGAACTGTTCTGTTCACAGATGAGAGTCGGTATTGCGTATCAACTGCAGATGGCAGGACCAGAATATTGCGTCAAAATGGCCAGTGTTATTCTGACCAATTTGTCATGGAACGAGGCTCATGGGGAGGTCCAAGCATAATGGTTTGGGGTTTGAACCAGAGAGAGTGGGTCCTGTAGTGTTCCAAAATCTTGGTCCAGGGAGAGGAGGCGGCCTCACAGCAGTGCGCTACATCGATCAAGCTCTCAGACCCCACGTCATACCACATTTCGCACGTCATCGAAACAATGTTTTCCAGCATGACAACTCCCGTGTCTACACCGCCAGAGTTACTCAGGACTTTCTACAGCAGAACGGTGTCAACATTATGCACTGGCCAGTCCTTAGTCCGGACTTAAACCCAATTGAACATCTTTGGGATGAAATTCAGAGGAGACTTAATAATGTCGCGCCAGGCTTTTCTGAGAGTGTGGTTCCAGGTGCCAATGGCCTTCATCAATCGTCTGTGTATAGACTGTGTACAGATTCTAAACCTTCTCGTAATGTCTTAGAATTGTGATGAATTAATCACTAAAGAGGCATCATACTGTTCACAAAAAAATGGTTGAATCCATTTAGTGAGTTGTTTTCTAGAATGATTTGATTAAAGTGCCTCTCTGATTTTGAAATTGTACTGACTTTTTTTTTTGCTGTTTAGTATATTTCAACAGTTATTAAAGTGAAATAAAAATTGGGACGTTGAGAGGGTCCACAAGCTAAAAATGTGATTTTTCGCACAATCAGGAGCCATAATCCAGGAAGATATTGTCTGATTCACACAAGTATCGAAATGAACCCAGATCTTTTGGATATAAACATATTTTTTAGGTTTCATCAAAATCAGATAAAAATTGTGACCTCTAGAGGATCCCCAACCGTGGTATTACATACTTTTCGTATGTGGAGCGGCCATTCTGTTGAGCAGTTTTGGTCCGATTTTCACAATGGTGTAACGGTGGTATATTTAAACGGTTTTTAAAATCAGATAAAAATTGTTATTTTTTGTACACACGGGGGCCATAATCCAGGAAGTTAGTCCAAGATCTTTGGGATATTACCATATATTTTAAGTTCCATCAAAATTGGTTAATTGTGATCTCTAGAGGGTCCACAACCTTGGTTTTAGACTATATGCGTATGGCGAGTGGCTATTTTGTTGATATTTATGAAATACGAATTCAACCATCATTATGGTATAACAGTGATATATTTGAATGGTTTTTAAAATCAGTCAAAAATCTAAAAGCTAAAGACATTATTTTTTGTACAATCAGGGGACATAATCCATGAAGTTACTGTCCGATACATGCCAATTTAGAAAGGAAACAAGATCTTTGGGATATGAACCTACATTTCAAGTTTTGTCAAAATCGTATAAAAATTGTGACATGTAGTAGAGTGTCTAAAAACAAATTGTGAACCGACGGACAAGGGTGACGAAATCTTCTTAGGCAATAATTGTATGCAGAAAGCTTTACCCATTTTACCTATGAGACCACCTGCTGAGCCTCAGCCTACTACTTTTACATAGGGTAATACTTATAGCTTACTTTTTGATGAAGGTTTTTTTACAGTAATCAACTAAGTTTAGATACTTACAAATGATATATGTGGATCGCTGTTTCTCTTCAACGTTTTTCCATTAAATTTCCACATATAAACTAAATCTAGAGTGGGATCATGTGAAGCCTGACAGTAGAGAAAGGCTGTTTGATTAACTACTACAGGTGTAGGTGTTGGTGCCACTGTTATTACTGTACCTTCTGTAAATCACATTAATAAAAGTTCATGATGCAATGTTGACATGAATACAATGTATTAATTGGTTAGTTATTTTTAAAAAAATATGGCAATTTTAGTATATATGGAAAGTAGACACATCCAATCTTACTAGAGTATTACTGGTTTCCCTGAAAAAAAACATGGAGTGCATAGGGGACAAAAATGTAAGGGTTTTCCCTAACCAGCAACCTGACGATTAGGGATGTCTGTTCGAGTAACGTCAAAGGTTGCACGTAAAGATTGTCTGATCTCTAAGCATTAGTGGGCACTTGATGTATAAGCTGACAAACTTGATGGTGAGCTTAAATGTACAACAGTTTTTGAGATAAAAACCACGGAATAAGACATGGGCAGTGGATAATCAGAGAATTAATTAGGCTTCGAAATTCATGATAAATGGACAACGATTAAAGACAACATCATCCTGTTGCTAGGTACCACACAGCAAAGTCACGTGACACAATCGTGCATTCTTTTAATAGATTTCTTATAGCAGGGGTATTTCCTCACGAATATGATGTTTTGAGGACTTGAAGTGAAATTTTGATACATTAATTAGTTTGAATATGTTTTTAGTCCATAAATATCATCAAATCACCCAGTTTGTACGCAGGAAGGTATCTGTAATTTCTCATCACTTTTATACAATATGCAAGGATGTCAGATATTGGTTGTCATAGGAGTCCACAAAGTAATAAACATTAAGATATTGAAGCAGCAGCTGTAACCCAATGAATTGTTATGCTTCCTCTTACTAAATAAAACATTTACTTGGCTTAAACAAGAAAGAAATTGTTCTGGATTTCCATTTCCAATCACAATCCAAGCATTTATCAGACTATAGATGTTTGATTTGGACATGTCCATCTTTTTCAGAAGAATAACAAGATATGCTTTCATGTACATGTATAGAGAGAGAGAGAGAAATGGGATTTAATATTGACTCGATACAAACAAGGACTAACATATGGTACAATTTTGCAATGTGGTTTCCCCTTAATATGTCAGTAGTGAAGGATGCATGGTGTGCTAATAACTACTACATGCATGTAAAAAAAAAAGTCCATACAGTTGGAATTCAATTAGAATTGAAATTTGACTCATAGCACACTGTATTGCAGAAAAGTAGGATGTTAAACCCATTTCTACTTACTGATAACATTTACTCTTGTACTGTCAGATGCCACTCCATACTGATTCTCAGCTTTACACATATATGTAGCCTCATCACCTTGTTGTAATCCAATGATGAACAAAAAACCATTAGATAATATTTCATAATGACCATTCCCTGCAGTGAGTTGACCACCATTTTTAAACCAAGTTATCACTGGAGTTGGTGCCCCTTCTGGTTTACACCTTAATGTCATATTACCATTATAAGCACCATCACTGATCTTCATCATAGGGAATCGTTGGAAGTTGGGTTCAAAAGCTGAAGATATATAAATGTTTGTTAATTTGTTTTACACTAATGTATATGAAATCCTTTAAAGAGGAAATATCAGTCACTTTTGAGTTCTTCAACAATATTATTGGGAAGGGATTAAAATCAATTTGATTGTACTGTTACATCAGGGGATGTTCCAATTGGGTGGGACGATTTACCCAATAATACCCGATGCTACCCAATACCACCCCAATATCACCACATACTACCCAATACTACAACATAATGATGCAAAATAGACATATCATTTGATTTTTTTCAAAAATATAGTTATATCGCGGGAAATGTACTTCAAATGCGATACTGATGTCTGGCTGTTCCATTTGCCTCCCCATACCACATCAAACAAGCCTATAATAACCTAATACTACCAAATACTCATCAAATACTACCAAACACTACCCAATATGATCAAATAACAACCTAATATTGTCAAATAACAGCACATTAGTATAATTACTGCAGCGAATATTCGATATTTTACAGAAAATTGAAATGTTTACACAGTTATCTCCCTTTACAACCGGTAAATTGATTTTAGATTGCTACTCGATTTAATCATCTTCTTTGGCTTTGCAGTTGGTTTCCAAGAACAAACAAACTTAAAATAAGAAAAACAAGTATGACGTTATACCATATTTTATTCCCAAAATAACCCATCTGTCTCATACCACTTGATAAGCGAGTTAATGAAATAATATTGAACTATATGTTAGTCCCGAAATTACCTAGTTAGTGTCGATTGTTTGTATTTATTTTAAAATTAATACTTTAACAAAACAATTGCATAATGTTTATATTCATTTTTTTATGTCAACTATAAAATTATTGCATATTTACTTACTGCACGATGTTTTATTTTAAAATTAACGATATTGTGTAATTCTCGACGCGACACTTATCGGTTCAGCAAAACTATCATTTGCGGCCTGTTACAGCTCTGTCGGTTTCTTTGATAATATAAATAAACCAGAACTTGATTACCCAATCAACAATCTTAACCCCACTGATTAATTGTTAAGTCAGGTGGAATATATATCTGAGTAGAGCATTACACATTTGTAATAAACAATTTCGTTAATTTTAAAATAAAACATCGTCCATTAAGTATATATGCAAAAACTTAATCGTTGACATGAAAAAATAAATATAAACATGCATATTGTGGAGGAAACTGGTGACCGTGTCTATTCATTTAGGTGGTAATGACATCGCCGCGACATGATCACCAGTGGGTATATACCGTAGAATACTTAGAATTTGTTCAATAGTGACGATATTCGAAGAATCAGTGAAATTTTGACAAGAGGTTTTTTTTCAAAGGCAACTGGTTGCAATTATTATACTGATGTGCTGCTAATTGATAATATTAAGTTTGTAATTTATAATATTGGGTAGTATTAAGTAGTATTTGATAAGAATTTGGTAGTATTGGATTATTATTTGCTTGATTTGGGTGATATAGGGAGGAAAATGGAACCGCCAGACATCTGTAATAAAATTTGAAGTACATTTCCCACGATATATCTCACTATTTTTGAAAAATATCAAGTAATATGCTCATTTGGCACCATTATGTAGTAGTATTTGGTAGTAGGCCTATGTGGTGATATTGGAGTGGCATTCGGGTGGTATAGATGGTACTGGGTAGTATTGGGTAAATCGTCCCGCTGGTTCCAATTAGATTGAACACAATCTAATTGAGAGATGCCGATGTTTTAACTTCCAATTTATGATGTGTACAATTGTGTTTGTGGTTTTCCAGGAGTTTAATGAAGGTCCTTAAGAAAGTTTGATAATTAGGTGAGTCTAATAGGTTATCACATATAATTTCTTGATAAGAATGATAATGCCTCTTTTAAAGGAAGAAAATAATGTATTGGATATCTTCAATCATATTTTTTAAATACCACATAAGTGAATATTGCCTGCCATTTGATACAATTTTCACTTTATTCTGGTGATTTCCACCCAATTTGAACAAATTCTGGATCCCATATGCAGCTATCTGATTGGCTTAAAATCAAATAAATTCAAATTCCAAACTAGTCTAGTTTAAAGCGCACTCGTGCAGCTGAAAATTCAGAAGAAAATATAAATCTTTACTTACACAAAACTCTAAGTTGAGCACTGGAATAGGTTTTACCGTGAAAGTTTGAGGCACCGCATTGGTACATACCATCATGTTTCTTAGGATCGAGGGATGGTATAGACAACACATTACCCTGTATTGTTATCACACCAGGTTCAGATTTCAATTGTTGTCCATTTTTATACCAGGTGTAAACAGCAGGTGGATTACCACGTGCTTCACATCGCCATGTCAACGGTGATGCTATATCTACATGTTGATCTTGTAGTGGGGCTATGAAATAGGGTTCAGCTTGAAATAAAGAAACCACAGAATTTAAAATACACATATTGTATTAACTGTTAATTAATAATCGAAGATCTGCATCTGAATCAAAGAACTACTTGACAAGATAGCAATACAGGTGTATCTGGACAGTGGTCACATTAAGGTATAAAAAAACCTAACACTGTTTCTCATAATATTATTTTGTCTAAAATTAGATTGTACAAAATGAGATCATGAAACATCATCGGTACTTTTTCTTGATGAATGACTTTGTATCTGGTCACACAACAGTATAAGAAATATGATATAGTTTCCAACAAAATTATTTTGTCTAAAATTAGACTGTACAAGATGAGATTATGAAATGTTTATAACTTTACACATCTAAAATAAATGTTATTAAATATACCTCCTAATCGAAGTGTTATGGATTTTGTATCACTTGCCGAGTGACCACGTTTAACAACACATGTATAAGTTCCTTGATCTTCTAACTGAGCATCCTCTATGATAATAACACGATTATGATCAGAGAATTTAGTTCTAGGTGGTATAGGCTTATCTTTTCTTGACCAAGTATATGTAAATGGTGTCGTGGATCTGAAATATAAAACATTGTAAGTAAGAATTGAAAATAAAACAGCATTTAACATCGTACTCTTCTTCTCTGAGTGGGCTAATGAAGACAACATAGTAAATGAGGTAATTCATAAAACATTAATACATCACCAAAAAAATACAGGGACAGGAATCATAAATCCATAATAATTAAATCTGCTTCAATGTTATGTCTTTAATGTTGTTATAATGTGTGATATCAACAATGTCGTTGTAATGTGTGATATCAACAATGTTGTTGTATTATCACCAATAGATATCAACAATGTCGTTGTAATGTGTGATATCAACAATGTTGTTGTAATGTGTGATATCAACAATGTTGTTGTATTATCACCAATAGATATCAACAATGTTGTTGTAATGTGTGATATCAACAATGTTGTTATGTGTGAGGCATGTTGTTGAAATGTGTGATATCAAAGACACAGCTGTGATGTGTGATCTCAAAGACAATTCTGTCATATCTGATACCAAAGACACCGTTGTAATATATATATAGGATATCAAAAACACTTCTGTAATATGAGGGAGGGAGAGAAATGAGTTTTAATGTACACTCAACACAAACTAGGTCATTTTGGAACTAACATATGGTTCAACTTTATTTCAATAATTCGCTTGCGCATTGGAGTCTTTAGCAGTGGGAGAAAACCGAAGGACCCAGAGAAAACTCACGAGGTTGGACAGGTGACCCTACTCCTTGGCCAGTACAACCAGGGAATTGAAACCATGCCAGTTAACTCAATGACAGACCTACAGCATGCATGGGCTAACCATTCGGCGATCCAACCCCCTACTTCTGTAATATGTGTTGCTTCTATGGTTTCTTCAAATTTGTAACCTCAATAAATTGCTGCAATATGGAAACGTCCATTGTGCATTATGACACAATTATCCTTTAAACAAGGGTTTCCTTATTCCATATTTATTAATAAATGTGATAATAAGACACACAACTTACGATCCATAAGCAAAACATTCCATTCTAACATCATGACCTCGTAATGGTGGTAGTGGAAATACAGCAATAAAATCATTCTGTATTTCGGGTCCCCAGTTTGCTTTAGCCGCTGTGATAAAAAAAAATATAAAAAGTTAACCCCACATATGCCCCATTTTCATCATTGAGTTTATTGGCCATCTTTTACGACCGACATAGGAAAAATTATAATATATAATGATAAAAGAAACTGTGTGTTAAAATAATATTTCCTTATATTCCAGCTTTTTGCTGCTATAAACATGAGAAACGAAATATAGTCATAAAATAATCCATATGCAGATTTAATTTGCCAAACACTTTTATATCACAGTCAAGTATCTATGATTTCTTAAACACTGCCCAAAACTGTGAACGCTGTCAACATCTTTTGTATTTGAGAGCTAAAAATATATGTTTGAAACAACAAAACTCGTCAAACTATTTTTTCCTCATAAAACAAGTATACTTCACAAAAAAAAGGGAAACAAACCCTTCACCAACTAATCTAATTAAAAGTGCATTCTGAGGCTGTGATGACAATAATTCTTCCTTGAGTAGGCAGCTAATCAAAGCCTTTTGAAAGATTTCATGAAATTTTCTGTACTGCAGGTTGATCTAGAGTCAACCTATCTCAATCTGTGCATTACATGGGGAAATATCTTCAGACCAAGATAAAGTGATGTTTAAAACAACCAAAATACAAAATGGAATGAAATCTTGGTATAATATTAATTAGAGAATGAATATAGGCTAATGTGAGCGACTTACCCTGATCTTTGACTTGTAGTTCAATAGGTAAACTAGTTCTAGATGGTGGTTGCTGTGTACCTATAGAATGTTTATTAACACCAGCTAGAACAGCTATACATCTATATTCTCCAGCATCAGTCCGAGTTACTTCAGAAAAATACAACTTGCCGTTAGCCGATATAAACATATACGGTTGTAATTCTGGTCGTACAAACCCCAATGTATTACCCTTCATCCATTGGTAATTAACAGCTAAAATTAAAGAAAATTCTTGTTTTAATTGGTGAGGCACAAAATTCCATAAAATGAAGGAACTAATGTTCTGCTGATCAGATCAAGGACAGAATATTTTTAGGCCTGCTTATGATGAGAATTTTAATAGGTAGCATATTTACTGAAGAATAATTGTGTATTATTGAATCTGATGTAGTTCTGATGTAGCTAGTGCTTGGTCAAAATTTGAATACAAATTATCAAACAATTACTTCAGGTCAAAGTTAGCCAACAGTATCCTTAACTTATTAATAGAGCTAAACATCTTTGATTTGGGTCAAAAATAAAATTGCTGATTTCATTTGATTGTGTTGATTTGCTTTTTAGGATGATAATCTATGTTCTTTGATAAGTATATGTCTAATAAAGCCATTGTTGAGACACAAAATTAAAACTAAAATTAGTATATTAATATTGTAAAACCAAAATTTAATTGTATAAGTTTGTCCCAGCTCTAATCCAAAGAACACATCAGATCGACCCATATACTTTATATGGACCTAAATCAAACAGGTGAGGTGCCTTTGATTTTACAGAGAGTGTAGGAAACTGTAGACAAAGTCAGAACAATGGACAACATGTGAATTCTAAATTCAGAAAGGTGAATTGTAAGTGTTAACAATGTGGACTTATATTATGCAATGTGTGCCAAACACTGATTGTTTTACTAAGTACCAGCACTAACCAGGAACCGAGCAAGAGAACATTGCAGCCATATTGGAATTGTGACATTTCAAAAATTAAATAAGCATACCAAGTTTCATGTCGATTGTATTTGAATTTGCGTAAGCCTTATGCTTTTTTCGATGAACAAGAAGAACAAAAATATGAGAAATTTGGGATGCTCAATTGTCAGTCTGGTATGTTCCGAAATGATGAAATTGCAATCGTGTGACACAGAATTCAGTCCTGTCTCAGTTCTGTTAGTCCCAACAATGGAGGTGGTGTGAGTAGAATTGTGATGTAATTATACAGAAGGATTATGTTTCAGCTGTCATGATTGGTTGAGATATTTTCTCATGTAGTCGGCACATGCGTTCTAGCCCCAAATTCCCATTTTCACTCGATTGTTACTATTTTGGGGTTTGACAGAAATCAATTCTTGAACGCTCAATCGAACATCCCCATAGTCACCTGGTTTAGCTGTAATTTTACTACATTCTATAGCTACACCATCATAGGCATTAGCTCTTACTGCTGCATCACGTACATTAGAGAATTCACTTATTCCTAAGAGAGAAAAAAAAGATCAATTAAAAAATTACAAAATCTTACTTTCTAGTACCAGTGTCATAACAATGCATATCAAATAGGGCGCCTTAATTAGAAAAATGGGATAAAATAAGCTGCATATTGGTTATATTTGTCTTTGATGCTTTTTGTGGTAAAATTTTGTTTTACTGTTTCTGCATACTCTTCTTCAAATTCCAAATGGCAAGTGATGTGGGTTTTTTTCATGCCTTTCAAACGATGCCCTCTGTCCTGCACCACTAACAAGGGAAGACTAGGCTAAAATAACCAGAAGAACTTTATCCGCCAACACTGAGATTGATCCTGGGACATCCAGGTTAGTGTGCTAGTGCCTCACTTACTAGGCCAGTTTTCTAAAGATGATTATTTCATCTTCTTCCAATCCTATATTTACACCGTGGACATGGAAGGTATAGTGAGAGAGAGAGAGAGAGAGAGAGAGAAATGGGGTGTAACGTCCACTTGACACAAACTAGGTCATTTCGGGACTAACATATGGTTTAATTTTATTTCAATAATTCGCTTGCGCATAGGGGTCTTTAGCAGTGGGAGGAAACCGGAGGACCCGGAGAAAACCCACGAGGTGGAAGGAAAAGTACATGCATATGTGAAGTCACCAATCGGTAATGACTATTGGAAACCTAACTATAGGTCATTACAAATGACGACTTCTTTGGCATTACAGTAAATTTACTGTACACTTTAATTATTCTCCAGCAAAAAACCAGCGCTTGCCAGACAGGATACGCCCACATTTTGCAAGAAAACAAACACGATTTTTTGGACAATCAGGGGCAATAATCCAGAAAGTTATGGTCTGAAATACGCAAATATCAACAGGGACTGCGATCTTTGGGGTATAAAGATATATTTAAAGTTTCATTGTGACCTCTAGAGGGTCGACAACCTCCGTATCGCATAGTTTTACACAATTTGCGTACAAAGAGCGTCCATTTTGTTGGGCAGTTTCATTTCGATTTTCCCGAAATTCGAATTCAACGTTCATTATGGTGGAATGGTTTTTAAAATTGGAAAAAAAAATTGTGACCTCTAGAGGATCCGCAAGCTAAAAATGCGATTTTTCGAACAATCAGGGGCCGTAATCCAGGAAGTTAAGTTCGGGTATCCGCGATTATCAAAAGGATCCAAGATCTTAGTGTGTAATGGTGATATATTCACACATTTTTTTAAATCAGACAAAAATTGTGACCTCTAGAGAGACCTCAAGCTTAAAACGCAACTATTCGTACAATCAGGGGCCATAATTCAGGAAGTTACTATCCGATATGCGCGAATATCGAAAGGAACCAAGATCTTTGGGATATAAACTTGCATTTCAAGTTTCATCAAAATCAAAAGAAAGTTGTGACCTCTAGAGGGTTCACAACATTGATATACCATATTTTAACGTTATTTGACTACGAGGCGCGGCCATTTTGTCTGTCAGTTTTGGTTCGATTTTTACGAAATTCTAACTCAACCAACCTTAGGGTGTAACTGTGATATATTCAAATGTTTTTCAAATCGGATAAGAATTTTGACCGCTATAGGGTCCACAAGCTAAAAACGCGATTTTTCGTACAATCAGGGGCCATAATTCAGGAAGTTACGATTCGATATGCACGAATATCGAAAGGAACCGAAATCTTAGGGGTTATAAACTTACATTTCAAGTTTAATCAAAATTAGAAGACAATTGTGACCTCTAGAGGGTCCACAACCTTGATATACCATATTTTTACGCTATTTGAGAACGAACGGCGGCCTCAACCATCCTTAGGGTGTAAAGGTGATATAATAATACGTTTTTTTAAATCAGATAAAAATTATCACCTCTATAGGGTCCACAAGCTAAAAACGCGATTTTTTGTACAATCAAGGGCCATAATTCAGGAAGTTATGGTCTGATATGCGCGAATAGCGAAAGGAACCAAGATTTGTGGGGTATAAACTTACATTTCAAGTTTCATCAAAATCAGAAGAAAATTGTGACCTCTAGAGAGTCCACAACCTTGATATACCATATTTTTACGCTATTTGAGAACGATGGGAGGCCATTTTGTCAGTCAGTTTTGGTCTGATTATCACGAAATTCGAACTCAGCCATCCTTAGGGTGTAACGGTGATATATTAAAAGTTTTTTTTAAATCGGATAACAATTATGACCTCTATAGGGTCCACAAGCTTTAAAAACGCAATTTTTTGTACAATCAGGGGCCATAATTCAGGAAGCTATGGTCTGATATGCGCGAATATCGAAAGGAACTGAGATCTTTGGGTTATAAACATGTATTTCAAGTTTAAACCAAACTGGATAAAAATTGTGGCCTCTACAGTGTTCATAAGCTAAAAACGTGATTTTTTGTACAACCAAGGGCCATAATCCATGAAGTTACAGTCCGATACATGCCAATATCGAAAAGAACCGAGATCTTAGGGTGATAAACCTATATTTCAAGTTTCGTTGAAATCGGATAAAAATTGTGACCTCTAGAGTGTTCACAAACAATTGTGGATGGACAGGGACGTCCACATGAAAATGTGGGCATATAAAAATCACCCACAAATAAAAAAGATAGCAGCTGGCCATAAAGGAAACCCATGGAGCCATAATTTAATTAATTATGTTATACTTACTACCAAAGGACAGTGTAACAGTGTTACTCAGGATGGTTCCATATTTATTACTAGCTTCACATTGGTACTCGGCGGCATCCCGTTCATCTTTTGGAGACTGTATGGATAATTTACCGTTAGTTATTGTATATCTTTGATCTGTTTCATATGTTACCTCTTTTCTACTACGTTCATCAATACGATACCATTTATATTGTACTGTAGGATTACCAGAAGCTATACATTCTAGCTCACCATCTAGAACCTGGCCTACAACCACCACACTATCTGGTTGTTTGGTAAATTTAGGTCCTTTCTCTAAATTATTAGGATCTATAACATTTAAGCCATAATCTGAAATGGAAAAAGTTTTGTATAAACTATACTGTTTGAAAAGATTTTTGATCCAACTAGGACAGTTCTAGAGCCATCTGCTTTGAAGCTAATAACCCTCACATTTGAAAGAAACCCATCTGAAATGGTAAAATTAAACCAAGGGATGTCCTGCATCATTCAGATAAAGCAGCAATGCATCAGAATTCCAATAATCATTTTCTGTCTGAAAAGTTTTCTCTAGATAGTACTTGTTTAGATACCATATCGAACCTGATGTTGAAGAATAGAAATGATGTCATGACTGATTGTTCCAAGTCAGAAAACATGGCAGCATAGATGTCAATAAAATACTTTTTACTATATATGATCTGAAATTCTATATTTGCCCTTTTCATCTGGAATATTGTGGTATAACTAATGACAATATAATAAAGAAGTTATTTAGTATTGATAGATAGACGCTGCCAGTCTCACCAAAGTCTCTGTTGTGTTGCACTATTCTGTAAGCTTCCTCTTGGCTAATTTCACAGATATAAGACAATTTATTAGATGCCTCTTCAATAGTCCACCCATATCCAGTTACTGAAAGAATGAAAAAGGTATTGCGAATGGTGAAAATTGTGACACTCTTACATTTTCGTCGTGTGCACGCACCTCATGGGTGTTTTTCATGATATCCATTATTTTTCCAGTAAGATTGGGTGTCTCTGCTTTCCATATAATAAATTTGCCATACTTCTATAGGAAATAACTACCCTATAAATACCTTTGCATGATATATCTTTAATGTATTGAAATTGAAATTTAACATTCATGATTCTAATTCAAAAATATTATTTAAAAAGTCCTTAAATATATGAAAAAATGTTCACAATATATTGCAATACACCCAGTTGTACCACAACATATTGCAATACGATCTTGGGCTGCTATACACAGAACAACCCAAAAGGTTTATCAATCGGATACTGTATTCTAGTGCTGCTGTTGATGATTGCTAGGAATTTACCATCTGCTTCAACCAAAGCATTACCACAAATAAAGGAGACACTGGCTGCTTTTTGAACTGGGGAAAGTAAGGGGTAAACAGCTTGCTGCCCTAATCTGAAAGTCTGCTACCCCAGCGTCCATTTAAACAAGTAAGAGCATACTTTATAAACTGAGCAGCCATCTTGGAATTATGACATCATCAATATAGACGTCTATTTAGCGATGTGCCATCAGTTGTCATAAAACAAGGATGCCAAGTTTCATATCAATCATATTCGATTTAGTGGGGCCTTATGCTTTTTCGAAGAGCATCGCCACAAGAAGAAGAATACGAAGTGTATGGAATCAGTTCCTGGTTTAAAAATCCTGATAAAAATGGAGACAATGACGAGAAAGAGACAACCAGGTCATGATTTATACTTACTACCATATTTATAGGCTATAACTACATCATCTGTATTGTTGAGAGGTTGCCCTGGTAACCAGAACTGGCTATCAGATTTAATAGTTGTACCATCACCTTTCCATATAAAAGTAGATGCTCCGTCAAATGTAGGCATACCACTTGTAAACCATGATCGCCTAAAGAATAAAAGAAATATAAGAATATCATATCATGCAGGCCCATTGGAACGAAATACATATTGGTGGGCTGTCTGTGTAGTGAGCTAAAATGGAGTTTTGTGGGCTTGCCCTCTAGAAAATTTCAAACTAAGGAACACATGTTTGCAAATTATTGACCAGGCCTGCTATGATCATTGTTTATTAGTAATAAAGAAATATGAATCTAAACTTTTTTGATTCTTACAGTTGACTTATTTACAAAAATTATATAAATATATAAAACTACTTATGACTCACTGAAAGGGGTCATGCTGTTGGAGCCAGCCTGAAATAAAACTGTGTTCAGCATAGGTGTTAATACTAACCAGAGCTGAACCATCATCCTGTAATGATAATAAAACACATTTCTAATTCACACCACAATAACTAATTATAGACACCTACACCAAGTTTGAACATTCTACCTCAATTAGAAGGAGAGTTATTGTGTTCCAATGTCTCGGCCAATCATATTGAAGTCTCTACTTAAAAAATGCTCATCATCGAACTTCGTCAAGCTATTGATGTAATGAAACTATGCACATGGTTTTACCACTTTCACTCAATTGGAATCAAAGTTATCGAGCTCCAAATTCTTGTCCAATCAAATTGCTTATCGCTCTGCTTACCCTCAGCAGAAAATACTTATTATAGAACTTGATCAAGGTATTAATATAATGAAACTATACACCAAGTTTCATCACTCTCACTTAATTAGAACCAAAGTCATTGTGTCCCAAAGCATCAACCAATCACTGTCAAGGCAGGGGGACATTTATTAAAACTTGTGAAATGGAGTAGCAGAAATAAACATCTGTCATTCAATTTGGACTGTTCATGTATTTCACCAAACATAATTGATTAGTATTACAATAATTTAAAAAAATTTTATATACATTCATATTACATTAATATGTGATTTTAGACCTATTTTTTATATTTTAAGGTTTCAAAGAATAGAAACAAGACTGAATTTCTGAGACATAAAAAAATGACTTCATGAAATTAAAAGAAAGTACCAGAACTTCAGAATTAGTCATTTTAAATGATCACAACTTGTTAGGTTTGTATATGATTTAACTGATTTTAATAATAATTTGGACAAAAATTTGGACCCATATGCTTTTTGATAAAACCAAGATTTGAAAGTCTAAACTTGACTAATTGTAGTCTGGACAATTTTGCCTTTAAAAACAACAAAAATTAGTTCCTCTTCCAGTTGGCATATTTACATACTAATTGTCTGAATGGAATATCACTGCCATGTGTTGAAAATGAAATTTGTACTCCAGCTGTTGTACTCAAATGAAAAATTGTATGTGGTGTTCTGAAAAGAATGAGCTCTCATATTGCACCAATAATGTTTATTAATTGATGGAACTACGGACCTGGTGTATTATAAGGTTCATGATGTAACAAATGATTTAAGAGCAGGTATAGGCTACAAAGTTTATAACAAATTTTAAAAAATGGCTCTACAGTCAAAATATTTACTTCTTAGTTATTTTATTTTACTATCCAGTAAATTGATTTGTATTTTGTACAGTTGATTTTACACCCAAAATCCTACAAGAATTTCAAACTCGTCTGCACTTATCTTACTCTATCGCTAAGATTATTGAAAAGAATGCATACAAAGGCTGTTATTAGATAGATTTTGATGATCTATAAGTGTCTCTTTAACAACACTCCCAGGAACCTCCACCCCAAATTACTTGCTGCACACGTATTGTGGCTGATTTCTCGCGAATTAACTGTGCTTGCATCACTGACAAGGGGGAACCACACCGCAAATCTGGATGAACTTTCTTTGTCAATGCAGGGATCGAACACCCGGCCTCCAGACTAGCGAGCCAGCGTCTTACCCACTTAGCCACCGTAACCCCCTAAAACAATATGGCGTTAATTGCATTTGTAAAACAACTATAACTTATTTTAGAGTGTTTACTAATAACGAATATAAGTCTTTCAGAATTATATCATGTATAATAATCTTAATAGATATATTTCATAACGCCTCAAGTATAGATATTTTAGCTTGTATACACCAGGGGCGGACCAAGGAATTTTGAAAAGGGGGGGGGGGGCACTGACCGCGGAGACGGGGCACGCCGCTGAGAGGGGATTTTTTTTTTGGGGGGGGGGTCCCCCAAGAAAATTATCCGTCATTTCCTTGCATCTGTAGCCATTCCAAGAGCTATTTGGCTGATATTTTCGTCTAAGTAAACGTTCGGAAATCGTTGAAAAAGAGCCTTAAAATCGAGCAAAAAAGGCAGTTGAACATGCGACTCAAAAATCGTCAAGGCGATTGGTGTAAACTACCTTATTATTTTTAACAGTGTACTCTTATTGGTGCAGAAAAGTAGGACGTTAAACCCCATTACAGGCTTCTTCACCTCATGACCTTAAACACTTTGTATAAATTTAAAGTCCATCAGTTATTAACTTTAGACTCTAGAGCTTCTACAAGATTTTTCAAAAAGGTCAAGGGCCATAACTCTGGCAGTAATTATCGGAAATCGTTGAAAATCAGTACGTTTTTTCGTCTCATGACCTTAGATACTGTGTATAAATTTAAAGTCAATTGGATATTAACTTTAGCCTCTAGAGCGTCCACAAGATTTTTCAAAGTGATCATGGGCCATAACTCTGACAGTAATTATCGGAAATTGTTGAAAATCAATAGGCTTCGTTGTCTCGTGATCTTACAAAAAAGAGTCAATCTCATTAACTTTAGCCTCTAGAGCACCCACAAGATTTTTTAAAGAGATCAAGGACCATGACTACTTTTTAGCAAGTCCGCCCTCTCCTTTAAACGGCTTATGATCGGCGAATAGATCACTGGTGGCAGTGAAATTACCGGGGTGTGGGTCCTGGGCAACAATTGCAGCAGAATTCCCCAAACAACCAAACCGCTACACAATTAGTGGCCAAAAACAGAAAACGAAACGCCACAATATCAGCATATGAAAACTAAAATTCAGACTATCATTTGTTTTCATAGTTTCACTACTTACCTGACATTTTAATCTAGCACTCTCGTATTTAGATGTAGGAAAATATACAAAATGATAACATTTACTCTCAAAAACCTGCCAATCGGACGGACAATCTGCAAAAAGAATAAAGTGATATATTTTATAGATGACAAAACAGGAGATCTCATGGTACTTGTACTCCTTAATACGTATAAACGTGGGTCGAACTCACAACTTTTATAGATGACAACATGACAGATTTTATTATCTACAGCCCAATGTTCTGTCCAATTTATTAGCCATGTGAAATTTGGAAATAAATGAGAATTGGTAGCAACTATTTTAAAGAGAGTAACACCTATGTATACATTGGTGTCACCGTGTTAGAGCAATTCTCAATTGGGATTCAGTGAAGAGGACACACACTATAATGATCACGGTAAACAATAAATAGCCGGATTTTAGTTTTAAAATGACTCAGGTAAATTGTCGTTTAATTTTGTCAGGTAATTTTGTCATTTTATATTCATGAGTGTCATTAGCATGAAGGCGGTATTGTATTACACAAGTTATTGTTTACAGACTTTTAGTCACTGATGATCAAAAGTTTCCTTTCCTAGGCGGTGGCGGCGCCAGCCGCCGGTGGTTGGAGGGGCAAAGCTGGGGCAAAGTCCAAGGTTAAGGGGGCAAAGGCACGAGCTTCTACTACAGGTAGGGGGGCCTCCCCCAGAAATTTGAGAAAAAAACAGGCTGCCGGAAATGCAGCCAGACAGTATTTCAGGCACTGATCGTTGAGATAAAGTGTCAAACGACCGAACCTCGACGAAGGCCACTCACAAGCGCCAAAGCAGGGAATCCTTACGGAGGGTATGGGGGACCTCCCCCGAAAATTTTGAAAAATAGACTGTCGGAAATGCTGTCTGACAGTATTCAGGCACCGATTGTCGAGATAAATAGAGCTGATCAGATACCGTCTGTCGCTTGATCACTAGTCTATCGGACACCAGAGAGGAAAATGTCAAATGAACGGACTTGCGAACCTCAACGAAGGCCGCGAAAATTGAAAAGTAGACTGCCGGAAATGCAGTCTGGCAGTATTCCAGGTACTGATCGTCGAGATAAATAGAACTTATCAAATACCGCCTGTCGCCAAATCACTAGTTTATCCGACCAGAGAGGAAAGTGTCAAACGGACGGAGTGAGTGAATCAAAGTAAATGAATATTTTCGCCACGATATTTTGTGAAATTGACTGCCGGAAATGCAGCCGGGCAGTATTTGGGGGAGGGGGGCAAACAGAGGGCAGACCAGATTTATGAGGGGGCAAATGCCCCCCCCCCCCTTGACGCCACCACTGTAGAGTAGTTACATTAAAAGTAATTATATCTCCCTTGTGCCAATTTGGTTTCAATAAACACCCAGTTTTAAAACAGAAACTACAACTTACCGTAAAAATGTTGAGGAACGCTGGTACCAAATATTGTAATAAAGATGAAAAGTTTAGAAGTATATTTATCCATATTATATCCTACGTGTGACGTTATATAACACAAGGTATGGGTGTCCACTGGTTAGTTCAATAACATTATCTCCCAAACTCCAATATATATGAATAAACTGTAACAAAAAAAAAAGATCCAATTGGAAGGTTAATCCTGTCATCATTTCTATGTTTAATAAATAAAAATATACAGTTAATTGAGATTTACGCCAGACTCTTATCAAAGTTTGATAAACACACAAAATTACTATTTACAATATAGCAAAAATAGTCCTTCACGTTTGTGTATACACTATCTTCAGGTGAAATTTTAACTGCCGTTCGCTTCCACAGAAGGTGATGTGGCAGACTCAATAAATTTATGTAAAATCCGGTGCTCATGTGTCCAGTAAGGTAAAAATGTCACAACCAAAGCCAAACGAAAATATTAGTTTATACCAAAGAGTTTCTAATCACCCCTGGAGGTAAATTTCACACTAGTTGAATAAACCTTTAATTAAGTTCCACTCTAAAAACAGATAATGCGTTAACTAACCTCAACACTTGTCACTCAAATACGCTTGAGTAATTTTCTCTACCTCTTAAACTCACTTATCTGAATTCACAATCTTTTAAACCTGATATTATTCTGTCAGTGTAAAGTATCTGTTTAATTTCAGACTATAAAAAATACAATGACCCTAATTTTAACCCGCCAACAACAAAAATTGGGAAACACTGACATAAGTTGTGAATTGGGTTCATAGCCCGAAGTTGTCTTTCGTGGACAAGTCAGATTTCTTTGTTTTGTTTTTTTTTTTTTTATACGGATGGCGACGTTTAGTACCCACATTTTTCATACTGGTTCAAGGAGGCAAGTCTCTAACTCAATATCACCCAGTCTTCGACATTGCAAACACGGCTTATTGGTCAATTTAAATCAAGATGGATGTTTTTATTTTACCGTGAAAAGATGGGCTTCTGGTATCCAATATTTAAGACACAATAAAAGATTTAAAATTGGCACGCGAATCGCGGGACAGAATGAAGCGACTGGATGAGCGAGGCTAAAGATATTCCACATGAGAATACTACCAGTATAGACTGTAATAACCAGACGCCAAAGACTGTCATTCAATTAAGACTCTTCGCATTTTTCGCCGAACAAAGCTGATTAGACATTACAGTAAATGACAGAAATGACTAAATGTAAATCAGTTAATATACATTTATATCACATTACTATATGTGTTGCGACCAATTTGTGTCCATTTATAAGTGCCAAAGAATAGCGATTTAGCTCCTTTAAGGTAATCTTTCTCTCCATTTTTATAAATTTGATGTTTCAAAAAACATTTACCTGTTGATTTTTCCTTAAAATAACTAACCCCCTTTTTTATCTAGGGGAGCCACGGGGGCTAAGGGAGTAAGGCGCTGGCTCGCTAGCCTGGAGGTCGCAGGTTCGATCCCGGTGTTGGCCGAGAGGGTTCATCGTGATTTTCCAGCGTGGTTCCCCCTTGTCAGTGGTGCAGGACGGAGGGCCTGACAAGGACAGCTGTCTAGTCGCTCGGATGGGAGGGAAAACCGAGGTCCCGTGTAGGCCTACGCATTGGCGTGTACATAAAAGATCCCTTGGCAGTTGGAATTCGATACAAGAGTAGACTGTAGCTCCACTGTCCGGGCAAAATTTCCCCAATAGCACACTGTATATGGCGTATGCCCGTCAACATTAGCCCAGCCGGAGCAGAACAGTAGGACGTGAAACCCCATTTCATTTTTCGTCTAGGTCAAAAATACAACCTTAATTAAAGAGGTTTAGCCTTCTTTGTGTCGCATTTCTGGCATCGATTATTATTTGTAAATGCAGCTGCAACAGTGTGATTGGGTGGTTGGAATTCAGGTCGGCATAAAGTGGGATTTCGGTTTCAAAACGATTGTAAACTTTGAAGTGAATAGCAGAAAAACGCATTTGTGTCGGTTAAATTTTCAAAACTTTCTCGGGGAGGGCAAGCCCCACTCCTATACCACGCGACGATTGACTGGCTGTTTGGAATTTAGGTCAGCCACCTAAGGTAGACTATATTGGACCACACTGAAGTTGCTGTAGGTATGGGCTGGAAGCAGGAAAACGCCCTTGCATCAGTTAAATTTTCCAAATTTCCTCCCGAAGGTCCCGTCTTCGTGGACTGTAAATGATTGATTGATTGATTGGAACTCGAGTCAGCCACCGAAGTTAGGCTATAATAGATCACTTTGAAGTTGCTGTATTCACGGGCTGTAATAACAGGAAAACGCGTTTGCGGTCGTCAGATTTTCTAAATTGTCTTGGGGCTCCCTCCTTCGCCTCTGGCAGACGTCCGGTGCTACCGTCTGTAACCCCAATTTTTTTCAGTCATTTCAGATTCTGCCCCCTAACATCCATCGAGCCCATACGCCTATGATCGTAACCTTGCTCCCAATAGAACGGTTTGAATTTGAAAAAGGGTAAGCGGATTTGTTTGCAAAAAGTATCAAAGACAAATATAAACAATTGGCAGCTTAATTGACCCTACGATATCATTATATATAACTTATTTGACCCCACGGTTTAATTATATAAATAATTTTTTTACAAACGTTATAATTATATTTACAGATAAATTATTTTACCCCACGTTATAATTATATATAAATTAATTACCCCACATATGAGTTATTTTAGCACATGTTATAATTATATATAAATTATTTTAACACACGGTATAAAATATTTTACCTGACGTAATAATTTATACAAATTATTTCAACACACGATATAATCATATAAAAATTATTTTACCACACGTAAGTCAAGTCGATCCAGAAAAAAGTTCCCATAACTTAGCATAATGCATAGCGTATGTACGTCTTCATTAATCCGGTTGGTTCAGAAAAATAAGATGTTAAACCTTACTCTTTTTTTTAGTTTACTGACAGAAAATCCTTTAAATCATAGACAGACATTTGATACAGTTAGTTTCGATAGATTATATGACAAGGGCTGCATATTTTCAATGTCATAAAAGTCAGACGAGATGAAATGTGATAGTATAATGTAACTTTAATTCTAACAAACTTCAAACAACATTACTGTATAAATACACAAACGATATTGCTGGATATATTTTTTTTACACTATCGTTTAAAAAAAAACCCCATCGAACTTTCTTTTATGTCATAATATATTGATGTGTTGAATTAAAATAGAGTAAACAGAAATGACATATTTGATAGTACAACCTTTACAAAGTACGCAAAACAGAAATTGATTTAACGTGGGTGTACTGTATGGAAGACCAAACAGCTCTTTATTCAGTGTTCTTAATTCTTAGTTCTTAATTCAGAGTCCGTAAATTTTATTTCTGTATTTTTTGTCGTATTTCGACATTAATTTGTACACTAAAATTAACATTTGTATCTTAAAATCAATATTTGTTTTACAAATTAGACATTTGTAATATCAGATTTGTAAAATGTATTTTTGTTTAATTTAATTTTATTTTAATATAAAGACAAAATTAATTTTAGTAAATCAAAAAAATAATCTACATTTACATTTCATCATAGACATACAACGAAAAACAAATCTCGAACAACAAACAGAGTTCAGGCGATCCAAATTATATCTGCTTTAACAAGGTACGTAAATATGAATATGTCAGAAATTATTTTACAATTTTGAAAATGTATTCGGACCTTTTTAATGGTATGCATCCCGATATCTTGTATTTTGTATTATTGCCCGTATTTTGACGTTAAATACCCCTCCCCCTTCCCTTCTCATTTAATACATGTTAGTGCCATTTCAATTTTGTTCTTTTTTCAAGGTATGTTATTACAAATGTGCAAGAAAATAATTTCCATTTTGTAGCAAACAATAAACATACTTTCAGCTGTATATGATCAGATATCTATGGAAGGGTATCGCCGCCAATATTAAATGCTCTGCTACAATGTCTTTTCTATTGATAATATATAAAAAGTACAATGTACATAATACCGGTAATGATAAAGTCAAAATACCTCTAAGGCAAGAGTTAAATGTAAAACGTCAAATGTTAAGTGTTAAATGACAAATGTTTTGTGGGAAATTGCTATTTTTGACGTGCCTACTTATTTATTTATTTTTTTATTTATTCTTCAAGTAAAGGTTACAACATGACAATAAATTAATGTATTATAATATATGTATATGTATATGAAAATAAGAACTATGTGCTACATTGTTTAAGTGGGATGCCAAATGAGACAAGCATAGAGAAATATGATAGGTATGGTGTCATGAAGAGACCTTTACTTAGGATAGCCCATAAAGCCTGACGTATATAACATCCGTTGCTTATTTCCAATGGGGCCCAAAGTTGCCAAGGTCGCGTCAGGTCATCATTGGGAGGCAAAATTTAATAAAGAGAGAGAGAGAGAAATGGGGTTTAACGTCCACTCGACACAAACTAGGTCATTTCGGGACTAACATATGGTTTAATTTTATTTACATAATTCGCTTGCGCGTAGGGGTCTTAAGCAGTGGGAGGAAACCGGAGGACCCGGAGAAAACCCACGAGGTTGGGCAGGCGACCCTACTCCTTGCCACGTACAACCGGGGATTCAAAACCACGCCAGTCGACTCAATGACAGACTTTATGATACAGCGCGCGCACGCTAACCAGCCATCCATCCCCCCCCCCCCAAAAAAAAAATTTTTTTTTAATAAACATGCCATCACAGCATTGTATCACAAATAATAAAATATATTTATGTCTACATGTTATACATCAACCAATTTTATTAATATTAGATTATCAAGCTTGTAGTATCACAGATTAACATTGTATTAACAATAAATTTACATTTCTCTCATTACATTTTACATTTGCTCCCTGCCACATCCCATTTGTCCTTCACGCATTCTACATAGCATGTTTCGCACAGCATCAACTTGCATATGCAAATGTAGGATATCACGTAACTTATTAACATATACGGAAACCTGGCACACTATAAGCCAGAACAAGGATATTCACGACACTGTAACGGGAAATCAGCCTAGCACACAATAAAAATTTACTCACCTTGACACTTTGGATGGCACTTTATGATGATTACGGGTGTGTGTGTGTGT